TGTGTGTGTGTGTGTGTGTGTGTGTGTGTGTGTGTGTGTGTGTGTGTTGTTGACTTTATTAAAAGGGAAATGATTTGTGTTTCACTGGCTTGGAGCATCTTCATATTTCTCATGCCCTTCACTTCACTTCACGGTCACAAATCAGGAGTTGAAGGAGGAAGAATAAACTCTATTCATCCACATCTATCCGCTCTCCCCACCCACAGCAGCAAGAGTCAGAGTCCGAGCTACTGCACGGAGCTATAAGGGAAACAACAAAAAGCTCACTGAGCCATTCACAACACAAGTACCAGACTTGTGTTGTGAATGGAAGTTTTATGAGGAGTTCACAAGTTTTGGATAAAGTTGTCATATTAGCTATTCTTTTTTGGTAATTGAAACATAAAATAAATGCTCAATCTCATAAAAACAGAAAACAAAACCAAGGTGCAAAGAGAACATCCAGGACACACGGTCAGTAATTGAAAGTGACATGTCTGTGGTTCATCCCTCCCCTCCTCCACTGCAGGCTGAAGGCCGTGCTGACCTTGTGCCATGTGTGCCAGTATCATATGCACAGATTCTTTGTAAGTTATTATGTCTCTAATATCACCGCGGCGGATTCCTCCAGGCCTGTGTATGTTATATGCCCGTTGATCTAAATAAGCAAGTAAAACTGTCATGTAGTCATTGTCCAAAACAAACCCTTGTTTCACTTGCACACATCTCTCTCACCCACAAATTTTAATGTTGTTATGAGAGACAATTATAAGTTTTTGCAACTGTTACGCACAGGCCCTTTTTCATAGTTTAAGTGTATTTTTTTTAATGGAAACTGAAGATCAGTTTCACCACAGATACATTTCCCCTCTAATCTTCTGAATAGTTTCATTTCAAACAATAATCTGATGCACAAAGAGGTCAATCCATCCAACACTTCACAGAAAAAGACAAGAAAGATGTCCAACAAATGAAAGGGAGCAGAAGTTTGTTTTTTCTTCTTACCTCTATGCTGGGAACCATTGGACTAAACCGGAGCCAGTAGGATTGTTGAAAGGTGGTTAACTGAACTAATATATACCAAAAAAAAGAGCTCAGAGGTTCTTAAAAGTGTCTTTGGCATGTACAGATATTTTTTCCGCTTGCCTACCAACATTTATCATCGCTGGAGAACCAGTAAAACAAGATAATTGAAGAGGAGAATCACGTTCACAGGTTAAAAGGCCAAGTCTCTAGTGAGGAAATAAACACGCTTAATTCCTTATCAACAAAGAACACTTTTATTTGTTCCATTTGTTTCAGGTTTTTTTGGGTCAAATAGTAGATGTGAGGTGGAGGAAAGTGCACTCAGTAGGAGAGGTGATGGTTCACAGGGCAGCAGGCAGGGGGCAGCAGATGAGTGCGGGAAAAGGAGGGATGTGGTGATCGGTGAGGAAGGAAATAAACAATGATGTACAGAGCAAACCCAGGAAACCTTTACCTTATTATAACAGAAACCAATGACATGAGTTAGCAAGTTTCTTAACAGTAGTCAGAACACTTTCAGCTTTGAATAGACTGAGATTTAGGAATTAATTTAAATTAGATTTTGTTGTTCTGGCTTTTTAGAGGGCCACAGACACCATTCAATAAAGGTCAGTGGTTAATAAACATCACTGCATGTGAGAATATGAACAGTTTGGGCAAATAATAATTAGAATATGCACTATATAAGGCCCCCCCCATCACAGGCTGTCAGCAAAGCTAAATTTATCCATCGTCTCACACACATTCCCACAGCAAACCTCTAACATGGTATATATATAAATACACACACACACACACACACACATCAGTAGTTTTACAAATGGATCCAGAACAATCTCGCTGTCTCTCACACACACACACACAGTGATTCGGTTTACGATGGCAAAAACAACACAATGTGGAGTCAAGGCAACGTGTACACAACAAACTGTACTGGTCATTGTCCTCTCACAGAAATACAAAAGCATGGACAGAATTTCAAAAAACAAAAATGCACGTAAATGTACACACACACACACATGTAAAGTGCACATATGGAAGAGAACCTGTTAGGGATGAAGACATACATGGTATGAATTCAAGAGGCTTTTTTTTGGGTGCCAACTCTGAGAGGAAAATAAAGATTTGATAAAGACAGAAGAGATATATGCTCACTGACGAGCAGGTTTGATACGATATGTAAGGCAGACATGGAGTGATGGGGAGTGTTTTTACATGATGGGACAGTTATCTGAACAGCAGCTGGTTGTGTGTGTCATTGTGAGGATCATTACAGCAAGAAATGCAATCAAATCCAAATAATAGGCGTCAAACCAACACCTAAACACACACGCACGCACGCACACACACACACACACACAGAGAATTTATTAGAAACTCTTGATGGAAAAAAAGAAAGCCCCCAGCTTCCTGTTGCAGCTTATTTCTCCTACCTCAGTCATGTTCTCCCTCTCCTCACACTCAAAGGCAATCCAGGTGAATGAAAACAATATTTTCATTTTATGATCATCCGCCATATCCCACCCAAATAAAAAAAATATAATCAAGTAATCAAAGAATCAACAGAATAAAGCACACACATTGGTTAAGGAATTAAAACAACGAAGGCAGCTGATGAAAATTAAAATAGAAATTATACAGAAGAGTATAAGAGACAAAAGCAGCAGTGCAAACAATGCAGGCACAAAAATACATGTGATGGTGAGAAAAAAAAACCCACAGTCAGCTAGAATGGCCTCCAAACACAACCCCCCCTCTCTCTAGAACAATCCACTGGCAGCCCACCTCACAAGGGGCAACTCTCCGTGTCCGCCAGTCCACTTTTAGCACAGACGTACCCTGATACATGCCGTACCGAGCGCAGTACGTTATGATGGCCTGGCAAGGGATTTGGTGCCATCTATTGTCAGCCACGGCAAACTGCCACTAAGCATGACATCCAAGAGAGTAAAATCATCGGTTCAGGGGATCAATTTCAGAAGCACACGAGGTTCGAAGGAAACAGGATATGAAACCCAATCATCACAGTTTTCTGTGCTAGAACACGAAACCTTTCCCTTCATCCTGTTTTGACGATAAACGGCAAAAAGATGGTAGAGCACAAGGCAAAGTTAAGAGTAAGCATCCTTCATGATGCAAACAATTGAGAACGTAACGTAACCCCCCCCCCCCAAATAAATACTAAAAATTATAAAAACAAAAGACTTGTAAACATATTCTACTTTGATGGAAGTCAATGTGGTGTCATGCATGTCATCTGGGAGGCTGGGGCTACTTCTGTGTTCAGGCGTCCGACTGCCCTGATTGGAGACGTGCGACGGTGAAGGCGTGGTGAAGAGGTGATGAGCTCCTCCTACTCGACTTTGACGCCCATCTTCTCTGTGTTTAGTAGGTAGAGGCTGTCGTCGATCAGGAAGCTGGAGGGAGAATGAAGTAAGGATCATTTATCTCCATTAATAAGCCTTTTAAGTCTCTCCTTTCATACACACCTAAAATAAACAATTTCTTTATTTATTTCAAGGCAAGAACATAAATCTTCTTTTCTTTTCCAGATACTGCATGAAACACACAAGTCAAAGCACTCGAGGGGACGAACCTGTAGAAAAGGAAGTGCACTGGTATTGTGCTGAGGTGCCACACAGCGTGAGCATCTAGGACCCAGAGCATTGGGGGGAAGTCCAGCAGCTCCAGCAGGGCCAGACCATGAAGCAGCAGCACCACCAGGCCGCACTTCCACCAGTATGGCAGGGTCCGCCGGTTCTGCCAGCACCAACACAGCCACCACAGGAGGTTCACCATGCCTTTAGAGACAAAAAACAGGGAATAATGACGTTAGATAAAAGCAATCTTCAGTGCATCAGTTGTGAGAATTTTAGCGGTGAACTTGATGACTGAGGATCTGTAAGTTGTTCTAACTGCAGACTGAAAAATGTGTAATTAAAAGTAATTGTAAGTATATACAAAAAAAGTACAAAGCAGCTACAGAAAAAAATAACACAACTATCAAAATGAAGTTATTACAAGCAGCCAGATATGAGCTTTAATATGACTCTGGAGCAGCTGCCGTACCGATGGTGACGTTAGCAGCCATGTTGTAGCCGTAGTCGAAACTGACAAAGGTCAAGAAGGACACATGCGAGGTGAAGGCCAGGATGAGCAGGACTCCCACCATGCTGGACACCACAGGTCGCCTCAGACCCAACGTTCTGACAAAGACAGTGTGAACAATGGATTAACAGACAGTATTACATTTTACATTAACCATAGCATAAGAGTCCCAGAAGATGGTTTTGTCTTCCACTTCAGGGACAGAAGCTGCGACCATGTTTGATCTTCTATGACGGTACAAATGAGAACATTTGTAGGAATACCTGTTTTAAAGCTTACCTGACACAGCATAGGTAGATGGAGTAAAGAATGACCGCTGTTGCACAGAAATAGTCCATTTTCTGAAAGAGAATATCACAGAGACAAAAAAAATAATCAAAAAAGACTTATATGTTCCTGAAAACATACGGCATCAGTAGTGGCATAAGGCGGTTACTGATTAGCTAAGCAATAAAACACAACATCAGTCTGTCAAAGGATATTTCTGCAGCTTGCCCCTCCGTTTATAATAAAGCTATCTAGGCAGTCAACAAGCATTACCTCTGTGAGATAGGTGTCCCGAGTGTGAAAAACTGTGGACCAGAACCAGGCGTTAAGAGAAACCTAAAGAACAACACAAGCACTTGTTAAATACGCATGGTACATTTTGTCATGAGTGTAAAGTCACAGTAGTATGTGTGTGTATGAATTTGTGCCAAGTTCTCTCCATCTCACCAGAGAGAAGGCGTTGATGGTGTGGTACATGGGGCTCTGGCGTGGCACCGTGCTCCGATAGCGCAGCAGCATGAGGAGGCAAGCCAAACCATTGAGCAGGGAGGCCAGGGCAGAAGCTGGCTCCTCAAAACACAGGAAGCGCACAAATGGCCACTATGAGAAATAAAATGTATTTCACATTTGACTCATATCGGTTAAAAACAACAACAACACTCACTTGTTCTCGTCTGGCCTTGTTCTAATAGAATCTACTGATGCGCACACGGGCCTCTGTAAGAAGCACCAACCTTGCCGTGGAACTGTGGGACCGTGTACCCCTCGGCCTGGTAAAGGCCCACGGTGGTCCACATGCACTGATAGCGGCAATCATCACGGCATATCCAACCTGCAACACCGGAGGGAGGAGCACAGGTCATATCCATCCAAGTTCAATTCAATGGGTACAAATATTCAATGATAAAACGCATTAAAATACTACCGTATAGAACTGAAACAATTAGTCAAATGACATTCGTTTTCAATGGTTGAAGTATTTTTTTGGTTTGCTTCTCCAATGTGAGAAATTGCTGTTTTTCTCTGTTTTATATCGATAAGTTAAGACATATTTTTGAGAACTGTTGCTTGGGCCTTTAATTGTTTTTAATAATTTTATAGTTGATTAATTGAGAAGATAAAATAATGGTTAGTGGCAGCCCCTAAAATGTGCACTCCTTCTTTGCAGTTACAGAGAAGGAGGCACTACTTCCGGGTTTCTCTTTTCTGGTTGGATTACACTGTATCAACTGCTTCTTATTTTCTAAATGCTTCTTATTTTCTCACACTGACTCACTATACATATGCTAATGATGGACCGAGGGTGGAGTACAGACAATACAACATACAATAGGCCTTCTGGGACACCTTGCTCAGGCAGAAAAACTGGCTTTAAACTCTCAAACAGTATCACACATGAAACGTCAAAGATGAGACAATATACTGCGTTAAAAATCAGATTGCAGCCATGACCTACGAAGCTAGATGGATGAGTAAACGCATACATGTTAACTGTTAGCAAAGATAGGCAATGGGTGAATTTAGCAGGGTGTTATCGCCAAGTATATTGGGTAACATTACTCTGTTTAGAAATATACAGACTAGCAGTTAAGCTAAATTAGCTTAATTTACCTACCAACAACAACAACTCACCTGTGAGCGCCATATACTGCGGCTGGGCAGACTGAAAGCCCCGTAGCTGAGCTCCGGTGCAGTTAGTCCGGACACATTGCTTCACACAGTCTCGATACACCGGCTCCTTGTCGCCTTGAGAAGACTGTACGGTGTTCACCGACATCAGGAGCAGGACGACAGTGGCCGCCACAGCGGGAAGTCTGACAGATGTGCAGCGGGGCAGCGCTGAGGCCATGGTGGTGGCGGTGGGTCTCGGCCCGTGAGGACTCACAAAGGCACGGCGGGACGACAGCGGCATCGATGGCTTCCACAGCCGACGGTCCACATTACCAGAAAGCCATTACTAGTTAGTGGTGACAAACCGCGCCTGAAATATGTTACAGTTACAGTACGTCCACTGTGTTCCCCTGTTCTCCTACCAGGGTCAAGTTTCACACTCACACATCGTTTCCGGCCGCCATTTCCAAAATAAGACATTCACTGGTGGACGTTTGTGGTCGCTTTCATTTTGAGTAACAAAACATCAAGTTATAGCTATAGTATCAGTAATGTTCGGTCTAATATTTCCAATTAGCTTTAAGAAATAGCTCTTGTTTTGCGAGTATACGTATTTACCAAATTCAGTACCGGTATTTTAAATTTACATATTTCTATTTTTTATTTTGAAGGCAGAACGTTTTGTTTATTATTTCTACTTCCTGTTTTGATTTCAGCGTCACCGTGTCACGTGATTCATTGATCTGTTGATTTTGTGAATGCGTATAAATATATTAAATGGTTGTGCGATATAATATATTTTTTTGTTTATTACAGTATAGGATTTTGATACACTTCAAACTTATGGAAATAGTAAAAATAATAACAAAAACAATAATAACTGGTGATAATAGTAAAAATAACAATAACAACAACAATAACAATAATGATAATGATAATATGTAAAGTACAGGTAGAACAAAATATCAATGCAATTTATGATGTAACATTAAAATATACGTTGCCAGTTAAGCAAAAGGAACTGTTTTTAAATGCCAGGGAGCCACTGGTCCAAGACCAGTGTAACATTAACAGGTGTCTTTCCTGCTGTAGAAAATGCCTCATGCTTTGAATATGCAAGTATTTTCTCACTGTGTTTACACACTCATTCATCACCAGTCACTTTCCACCGCCTGTCAACATCAGTGTTTTGCAAATGGTAAATAAACAAGCCTTTTATGTAAATCAAGTGGTTCAAAGCAGAACTATCACTTACTCCTTTTTGTTTGAACCCGTGAAAACATATTTCTCATCTGTTTGTGAACCTCAGATATAAAACTGTTTGTCAATCACTGTGACTCTAGATCAATATATTGTATGCAGCTACTATAATGGTGACATATAAAGTATTACATTGTCACACTGTATGCTCTGAAAACTGAGGTTGTATAATGTTCATTTGTGCTTCCAAATTTTTAGCCAGTCCAGTTTTCCCAGACCGATCAAATGCAGGATGAGTGAAGTTGTGTTCCCTATGAAAGTGATGCCCATCACTGGAACCATCACAAGACAATACATGCTGTCATCAAAGCTCAGAAAATTGCCCAACATCAGAGTAATTATTGGAGGAAAATAGGAAGTAATTGTAATAAAAAGGTTGTTGATGATGATCTTCACAGCCTTCTTCTTCTGGGGGTGGATGTCTTTTCCTCCAAGTTTAGATCTCTTCAAGGTCCAGAGGATGGAGAAGTCACAAAATCCAATAACAGGGAGAGTCAATACAAAAAACAAGATTGGGAGGGGGTCATTGAAACCCACATTAGGTCGGACAACAAAATATATTCCAGCAGCAACCGTCACAGTCCAAACACCAACGGCCATCAGAACCCTGGGAGTCAAACTATTTCTCGCCCGATAAGTAAGAGGATGAACCACAGCCACGTAACAGTCCAGACAGACACATGATATGAAGAGAGGCCTCCCACACAAATTGAATGAAAATAAGAAATAAATAATGTTGTCATACGTGCTGTTAGACTTGTGTTGCAGGAGATACACGTTTGGTAGAAGAAGGACCAAAAAAAGCCCATCCAAGACAGTGAGATTTGACATAAAGACATCATTGGGGGTTAATGAGGTTCCTTTTCTTCCTTTCTGAAATATATCCAAAAGTACGACAACAGCTCCAGGAAATCCAAAAGCAAAGGAAACTACAATGATAAATGACCAGAAGATAGAAACCCCCGGGCTTTCTTCACAGACATCAGCTGTTGCATTAGTGATGTTAGGTAACCAAGACATCTGGATTTGTAGTATTGGTAACAAAAAAGCAGCGTAGACCTTTCTTTCACTCTCTTATTAATCAATTGAAAAGCACCCACCTACAGCAACTGAACACTTTAAGCCGACCTCTCGCTGTAAGTAAAATGACAATATGACAGCTGTGTTTGAGCGAGTTCTCTTGATTTGAATAGTGTATGTGCAGCAGTGAATGTTAAAGCTGCCAAGCCACACCACCATCCGTCAAATCTGTCTTACAGACACACATTTTCCACCCAGATTTGAATTTGTTTTACTGTAAAATCAGGATGGGAAAATGATTACGTCATGACATATTGTACCTCTGTTGAACAAGTGAATGAAATAGAACCTGCGCTGTCTTATTTGTTTCCAGCCACAACTGCGGAATAAAAGCAGAAAGTCCACATTAACTTTAGAAAACATGACAATAACAGAAGCACATCTAAAGTCAGGTTATATTAAATTGAATGTTGAATGCCAGCATTTCCATTCCATTTATTTCACCATCAGTTTTCTGTATTGATGGTGATCAGGAGTGAGGGAGGTAGTGATAAGTGACAACAAGCTGTCATTAACACAGACATTATAACAAAAATAAAAGGGTAAAACTACATAAAGTGCCTTGCTCAAGTTCACAGGAGTTGTGTGCAGAATTTACAATGTACAGGCTGTCTCTGGAAAAACTACAGCTTTCTCCTTACCAGGTTATTCTTGTAGTGTTTGGTGTTTCCATTTTTGTGTCCCTCTGTCTTGTACATTTAGAGTAATGAGTTGATACTGAATGGAGAAATGACACATTTGGTATATTTTTTACTTGGGGATTTTCATCACTTATCTACATTTTTTTGGTCCCCTTTTAAAAGCAGGCTAATCAATCCAAACCTTGATAATGCTTCACCGTGTGCATATTACAGTCAGTGCTCAACAAGTCCAGGGTCAACCAGCAGTGCTACAGTATCATCCACGCTCCCATTTAAACCAACAGACACAGTGTAATACGAAAGACGGTGGATTTTTATTTGGACTTCTTTATTCGTTACAGACAAACACAGTCACAACAGAAGGAAACAGCAGTGAGCGGGAGGAGGAAGAATCATGAACAAAGACATTTTACTTTTGTTACTTTCCTTCCTGCTGCCCACTCACCATCTTTCACCATCTCTTTCCCTATTTACAAGATTTTAAAGTTAAAAAAAAACATGTTTTCCTATTTTTCACTGCAACTTTTCCTCCTGTGTTTGAGAGAAGGAGCGACGGATTTAAGAGTGGGGTAGGCAAACTATTATAGTTCAGTACTCACGCTCTTTTACTGTGCACTCCTCTCTATTGTCAAACAAAGGGACAAATCCAAGAAACACTCTATGTCAGGTTGAGACTAACAGACCACTTGGGCCAGGCTGCTTTACTTGTTTCAAGCAAGTGACTGTGCATGCACCACAGCACCCAAGAGACACTTCTGACTGACCGCTGTATACACCGGACTGCATTATGAATACACGCTGCATGCACTGTAGGTATGATGCACGCACTGCTGGCCTCAACACAGAAGGACAGAATGAATGATGGGGGAAAAGAAGGAGAAACAACAGGCCGGGACAGAGATAGAGAGAGTGTTTCGGTGCCACAAGATTATTTTGTATTGAAAATAATCCCATGTCCCCCTGTTGGTGCTCACACACAAACAACCCACACGGCCTTCAGTCCTCTCACTGAGTATCTCAATAAATGAGACAAGTCTTTTTGTAGTGAGCTGGCAAGCGGAAAGAGCGGGCCGGGAGCGCGTAAGTGTGCAAGGAAGCTGCGTGGTCGGAGAAGAGGGGAGTGAGTAGATGGAGGGTAGAGTGCGGGGTTTTAACGGTGGTAGAGATCTTGAGAGAGGTGGATTTTACTCCTCCTTCTCCTCTCCGTGTGTGATGACGTAGCAGATGCTCTTGTAGTCCACATTTCCAGCCACATCAGGGGGGAAAGCAGCCCACAGGTTGGTCATCTGCATTGGGAGAGGTTAAAGACATGGCTTACAACCCTGAAGGCAGAATGGAAATATGGGCGAGACAAAGACGGTTTAGCTCACCTCCTCAGCGGTGAACCTGTCGCACTGGGTGGTCAGGAGCTCCTCAAGGCTGGAGAGAGAAAACAGAGAAAAATACATCAGATGGTCTATCTTGATTCAAGATCACCACAAAGAGCAAAGGCTGTTGTGATAGACGGTAACTCAAAAGTAAAGCCCTTACAATTCCTTCTTGATGGAGCCAGTGGCCTCGGGGTCCAGGACCTTGAAAGCGGTCACGATAACGTCCTCGGGGTCAGCACCTAAAAGAAAAAGCAGCCAATTAGTCTCAACTATAACAATAATAATCTCATATTAATCCTGAATTATATCAAGCATCTGATGTGGGGGAAATGCACGAAATGAGACAAAAAGTGACAAAAGCATAGTTGTCTTGAGCTGCGTGAGTGTCATGCGTTAACACACCCTTCAGCTTCTCGCCGAACATGGTCAGGAAGACGGTGAAGTTGATGGGGCCGCTGGCCTCCTTCACCATGGCCTCCAGCTCCTCATTCTTCACATTCAGTTGGCCCATGGTGGCCAGCACGTCCCTGAGATCGTCCTTGCTGATGATGCCATCTCTGTTCTGGTCAATGATTGTGAAAGCCTGCCGGGGACAGTGAGGTAAGACGAGAGAGGTTAGTCAGTAAATAAAAATGTATTTGATTTGTTGGGGGCTGCACCACCCACCTCCTCAGGTGACCTTCAGAAGCCATCAAACTATAAACTACAATAAATCAAAGCAGTGAAAATTGAGATCCTCACATTTCACACAAGTCCTTGAGCAAGTCCCAAGACTTGCTCATGATGATTGTATGCGTGGGACAGCCTGCCAACATAAACGTGTAAATGCGGAGGCGTTCTCCATCTCGCGTCCCACATAGCTGGGCGTAGCACCCAGTGAAACCAAAGATGGCATTGCAAACCTTTTGGGACTTGGCAGCTGCTCCACCACTTGTCTTGCAAAGGTGTTAAAATGGTCTCGGAATGTGAGACAAGCCCATTTCGACATTTAGGGAGAAGGTATTGATTACAGCTGTCAAACCCCCCCCCCCCCCCTTTCTTTTTTTGCCTTGTGGATAAATCTGATGACCCTGTCCCCAATGTTAATCCAGCTACTGTCGCCATTGTATTCTCTTTTCTTTATACCTGTATACTAAGGGAAAGCCCCAGAGAGACCCCTTGTCATCTAATAACAACAGCAATGTTCAAGTTGAGGAAGGTACTAAATTCTTTAATATTAAGAAAAATGTTCTTGAGGTATCAACAAAACATTTGTTTTCTTATTTCTCTTCCCTAAACGTAGACTAAACTTTAGGATCTCAAATGTTTTCTTGTTCTTTCTACTTTGAGCCTCTCTTTCCTGCTTTGGCTAATATTACTGTCCACCAGCTGTTGGGCGGCATTCCAGTGGGGTCACAGAGCAAGTGTTTCAAGATCAGAGAAGGATTACTGAGATACTGTCATCGGAAAAACTCTGATTTAACGTCCTGTCATGCTGACGGGGACATTCATGCTTTCATGCAGCCACCTGATGAGGTCTATAGCTGCAGAGGTCAAATGATACATGCAGTCATGGCAGTGGACAATATGTCCCTTTTCTCACATGGCACAGAAAGACCTCAATTTGTAGTGCTGGAAAACTTTGGCTTTGAAGTACGAGAGATGTGATGAAGAAAATGTTACCTCCTTGTACTCCTGGATCTGGCTCTGCTCAAACATGGAGAACACATTGGAGGATCCACCCTCTCCCTGCTGCTGCTGCCTCCTCTTGGCCTTCTTGGGTGCCTGGGAAATGAAAGGTAAAATACACTTTAAAACATACAAAACATCAATCAAACAGACTTCACTATAAGATGCAGTGATCCTGGCTAACTCGAAGCGAAAGAAAAACAAATAGGACGGCTGTCAGGCATGAGAGGTCAAAAGCAAAAGGATGCAAAGGAGTCCTAAATTGCTTGTTTCAGTAACTTCTCCAGTCGTATTGTGGCTGAGATCAATGAAAAGATGCTCAAAAAGTGTAATTTTCATCCCAATAGTTTTTTTTCTCCATAAAACAAATCTATTAATTTTGAATCTATCACCCAATTTAGAGTCAAGTACAATGTAATGGTTTTGGGGACTACTATAATAAGCCAGTGATCCCCCAAATCTTTTTTTTTTTTTAGTAATTCATCACGGTTAAGGTTTGAGATGTTGAGCTCAAACCAGCAGATAAAGTTAAGACTGGGTCCAAATCCACAGTTTGGGAGAGACTGTTTCGTGGTCTGTTGGTAATCCAGATAGCAAATGTATCAGTGATGCTTTCATCTCATCACAGATCCTAGACAACATGGCCACACTCACCATCTCTCAAGTTTTTTGGGGTTGTTGGTGGTCAAGAAGAGAAGCCTACGCCAAGCTGATGGGACTGACATGTAAGCACCGTCTCCTAGGGGCCTTATATACTAGCCCACGGGGGGCTAACTTTAGCCACACCATCAGGTTTGGCAGGAAAACAGAGCTGAGGGAAAGTAAGAGAAAAGGGGAGGAGTGAAGAGGTGGCGGGACGGATCGGCTTACCGATGCTCCAAAATAGACCCCAGGAGTCTTGGAATGAGGTGAATTCAATGCCAACACGCAGTCCCGACTTTGGTGTCATCTGTGGACTAATATGGCCAAACTGATAGGACATGCTGAGGGACAACTGATCTGCCTCTGAACCCCTCTTCTTCTTCTTCTTCTTCTTCTTCTTCCTCATGACACACAGTCTTTGTTGTGGCTATTTTTGTTTCTTTTATATCCACCATGAGAGAACAAAACCCAGCGTATGATGACAAGCTGCTGACAAGCTGATACACACACTCACACACACACACGTATTGGATTAACAGCAATTAACAGACTCAAGCTGCTCAAGGTGCCAACATGTGTTTGCAGTTGACATATCCTGAAGTCATCATCTGACTACATGATAGGTTTGGTCTGAGGTTTGTGCCTGCTACCAGATCAGTAGTGGCCAGCCGGGTTTATAAACAGCGATGAAACCTGAAAGCAGTTGGCTGATGGATATTGGTCTTGCTCCAGCAATGACACGCGACTACTAGGCCTCTTCAAACACTGACCTTGCATCAATGAGAAATGTAAACAGTCCTTTAATACCGACACTGGCGGCAGGAAATACTTTCAAATTCTGTTTGCTTTAAAAAAGTTTTAAAAAAAAGCTAAAGACAGCCTGCTGGTTTATCTTTCATCTTGTTTTGTGTCTGGTCGAGGTGAACAATGCCAGAAACCTTTAGAAAATAAAGAAAAAGTTCAGAACAAGAATTCTGTTTCATAGCACATGAATGAGAAATTCTCAAATATTGAATCTCTCTCTGCAGAAGAAGGTTCTGTTCATGTCTGTTTCTGTGACAATAAGTCACATGTGTGATGGGAAACAACAAATGATGATTGGACTGAATAAGCAGCTTTGGGTGCACTAATTTGGGGTGCTCCTGGAGGTTCCCAGTATAGTTGCTTTCGAACAGGACGACAGTATAGCCCACCCACTTAACTCCATATATGAGCTCCATAGGCTGCCATCAATCACACGTATGTATTGGGATCCAGCACAAGTGTGAACCGATACTTTTGGACCAATTTGCCGGGTTTTTTTTTTTTTTGTATTCTGGGTGTTGATTTAATCTGATCCTAGATCCTGCCACTGATTATTAAAAATCCGAGATCGTTATTTGCAGAGAAGGAAGCAAAAGTTAAATCCTAAATGAAGAAGGTCGCGGGCAGCACAGCAGACGCTTCAAGTATGGGCTTGAAGGTGACAGAGGGAGAAAGAGACCAAGCTCTGTCAAAGACCATTAACAAGACAGCTGTAGAGACTGAAATAGCGCTGCCTCCCCCCACCATTCTTTCTCAGCCATTTTGAGTCTCTACTAAAATTCAATTCAATAACACTTTACTGATTAACAGTGCTCGGTATCAAACCTCACTTTGGTATGAAAAACAAGCAAGCAACAAAGCTGGCATCAAACATCCCGTTATCCTCTTTATTTATCATTTGATCAGTTTAGGCACTGATTTAAAATCATAACTTGGAAAATCTCCGACCATTTTATTTTGGCTTCTTGTACAGCTGTTTGTGTTTGTGACAACATTGAACATTTGCTAAATGAAAACAAGGCTTTTGTAGAGAGGCATGGCTATATGTCTTAAAGGTTTCAGAAAAAGTATCATTTAGGTATCCGTACAGAAACTCAAGTCAAATGTAAGGAAATGTATTAAACTATTTCATTTCATGTAACTGTTTTCTTTTTCTTTATTTCTGCAATCATGGAACAAAAAACTTGTCAGGTAAAGATCAATTGAGCAGTAAAAAATAAGCAAAAAATAAACAGTGTGCTCTCGAACAAATATACACAAACAAAGCTCAACAATAACTGTTGTACTTCTAATTCCTATATACAAAATACTGTAGCTTAACAAGGCAACCACAGGTATTGGATTTAAGGTTTAGATCACGTTTAATTTGACACTTATCCAAAATCGATTAAGTTTTCATCCCGAACAACGTCATTGCCTTGTCCCCTCTTCGACCAATCAGCAATCAGTTCCTTCACCTCTTTTCCAAAATCTTCATGCAACTTGGTAAAGTCCTCCTTGGTGCCTAAACAGACCGCTGACCAGTCACTCGAAGGCAGAGCAGGAGTGTTAACAGGCACAACATTGGCGCTCCTCTTGGGCCAGAGTTTGGGCGATCTCTTACTGGCTGACTTGGACGAAATGGTCGTAGGTTGAAGCATCTGATTGGAGCTCAGGCTGGGTCCTGCCCCCACATCTGCTGCTAGATACGAAGGTAGCGATGCAGGCAGTGTGCTCTGATGGGCTGCAGGGTATCCCGCTTCTGCTGTGCTGACATTTGGCATGAACGGGTTGGCTGGTTCACTGGAGAACTCCACTAATGCATCTGAGGAAAAGAGTGAATGAGACAAGCAGAGAAATGCGTAAATAACAGCTGACGTTAGAGGCTAAAGCTGCTTACCCTCTTTTTGTTTTCTTGTATTTTAGAGTAACCACTTCATTTAGCAAGGCTGCAAAATCAGAGGATAGGAAGTGGAAGTAACCCTTTAACTGTGACCAGCATCACTCTTGGCACACTTGGCACCAAAATGTCTCTTTCTAAACCTAAACGTAAGGTTGAGCCAGAGCCGAAGACGGTTTCAAGAACGGTGGAAAACTGATCATTCTTCGGTGGCCTTTAATGAGACTGCTACCTGTCTCATTCCTGCCCCCAAAAAAGATCTCCCTAATACATTAAACATGAAAAGTAATTCCATTAATTACCTTAATTACATATTAATCACTACATACTGTAGATGCATACACCTGTATTATATAATCGTTGACTTACCATCACAGTTCATTTATACAATTACAATCAAATACAACAAAACGACAAACTACACCCTCAAAAACTATGACAGAGTTGAAATAACCCCTTTTAAAATAAAGTTTTTAAAAATGTAGATTGCTCCAACCTTGACTCAATGTGTTCACAATGTCTGCGACAGACTGACGTTATGAGATTATGACGTCTGCCTACTATGTGCCATGATGTGCATGGCGTGTGATGTGGAGGCTGTAAACAGCAAGGCCTCACACAGCTGCTCTCTGGAACAAAGGCAGCTTTCTTTCTTTCCCCCCCCCCACAGACAGGAGGAGACACTCCAGCCTGTCTGTCTCTCACCTCTGTACTTCTTCTCCAGGTCCATCACGAGCAGGGCCAGGTAGCTGTGGTTGGCCGACAGCAGGGCTTTGATCCAGCTCTCCTGACTGGCCTGGTCCTCGGCAGCAAACTTGTACGTCCGCAGTCCCGGCTCGCTCCACACCAGCGAGAAGGCGAACTGCTCCTCGGACTCACACAGCTGGATGGTGCAGCCCTCCAGAACAATCACTCCTGTCACGTCCCGGTCAGCCGGCCGGTCCTTGTAGAAGAGGAGGTTCCCCTTCAGCACGCACCAGCGCTTCTGATAGGAAGTCTTTCTCTCGCCCTGTGTGACAATTGTGCCAACTGTGGTTTACTCACCCATGTACAAATTACTAATTTACTCAACTTCCTACATAACAGTTGGTGGTGAAATAAGTTTTATGAAATACACCAAAAAGGGAAGTGACATTTTTGACGTTTTTATTTGTTTCCATGTGCTTAGAAATTCAGAATATTGGTCATTATTTTGAAAGCTGTATGGATTGACAGCCTTCCATTCAAGGTATCTCTGTTCAATTTCATGTACCTGATAATGATTAATGATAGCGTTGTAATATTTGAATCCAAATGATTTCGTGCAAAGCACTTTGTAACTTTGTTTTGAAGGCTGCCTGTCAATAAAGTTTCAAATATTACAGGCAATTGTTATTGTTGGGTGAGTAAAACCTCAATTCCCTTTTGTTAATTATTGAAAAGGCAAAAAATAAAAACATGTGTGCTGCTTTCTCTTACATTTTTGTATTATTATTATTATTATTTTGTTATTGTATTTCCCTACCTTCTTGGAGAGGTACCCTTCTTTGTCCACCTGTGAGGTGCAAGATTCAAAATAGGTGACAATTTTTTCATGAATCTTCATTTCTACATCACAGGCTGCTTTCACCTGAACCTGCAACATAGACGAAACAACAACACTTTATCCTGGGCTACTTACCCATTTATGACTAATGTCGTCTGTTGATAGAGAACTAATAACGAGCTTAATAATTCACAGTTAAGCTCGTGTCTGTGGGCCAAATACGTTTCCAGTGTTGCAATAAGGAAATGCTCCACATCCACCGATGTAATACTTATAAACCCTACACAACAAGGCGACACCGGTTATTATCGGTAATAGATGGAAACATGCCGCCATTAATATCTCGCCCACTGTTTTTAATGCGGTGACGTCTTTTACCGTCCGTGTTACCGTTTGTTACCCGTTAATACGTGACTCGTAAATTTCGGTTTCCGTTTGTAAAATGTTTAACTTTAACTTGAGAGAAAGTGCGAGCGCAGACTATTTCTCTCCCCCACATGGTTCTTTATTGCTCACCTTTCAGAAGTGTGTAACGTTGTTTCGGGTTCCTCTTCTGGGTGTGTGTCAATCACTTCCTGGTGGACAAGGTGAGGGCAGCTCCACGTCAGCTGAGAGCTAAATCAACCATAGAGGAACTTATTTTATCCTAAAGACAATTGTGTTATGATGTAGCCTATGTTACACTGTCATTACACCAATGACTTTATCCATAAATGTCCTTTCCAAAGGGATTTGCATTAGAAAAATAGCTTAAATTAACAAGTACATGTATCTGCTAAACCAGTCTGGCATGGTGGCCCCAGACTTCCATGGGCCCCATTAGTGCCTGTCAGTATCTGTATCAATTGGTTTAGTAGATTTGATTGATTAAGTAGTTAGATGATTTGAACCAAGAGACAACTAAAACAGGTTCTGCATCATCAGGTCGTTTTGTGGGACGAAATAACGTGTTTGGATTTTTTAAAAATTGCATTTATTTTCTATTATTTGTTGTAGGAGCCGTGTACAATATAAAGTATAAATGAGGTAATTTGATGTACTGTACTTGAGTCAGTGTAAAGCAAATTTTCATAGTCGGTCATATAATGAAGCTGCCATGTGTGTGACGCACTGCATGGATAATTGACATACACAATGCACAGTAGATGTAGTAGATGTAGTAGGGACATATGTAACTGGCTACAGCTGGTGGGGGGTAAATAACTATTATGAAATCACTAATATCTGGTGTGTAAAGTCAAGTGCGTGCATGTGATCATTTCTCACACATTCCAGCTGTATGACATTATTTGAGGTAAAAATCTCAAACAGCCACAGGGGGGATGTAAGGCGATGTCTGTCTAAAGAATATAGGCTCACTTGGCCTTTTGTGGTGGTAATAAATAAATTTATTGTTTTGTTGCGCAAACTCTATTTTCCTGGCTTTCATCACTAATAACAAATGAAATTCGCAATAAATATAGCAAGCTTCAATAAGTCTGGAAAATCAGGCAATTTCAATGAGAATCATGCTATCCAGATTTGAAAAAGTTTCAACTGTCTTCACAGATGTGTTACACTATATAACACACTGTCACCTTACAATGTTTCAACCCGCTCTTTAGACCAAAGGCTCAATGGATTTAAATGTCCAAAATCAATAATAGTTGTTTCAGCAAAGTAGAGATGCACTAATACGGCTTTTAACATGTTAATGTCTTACATTTCCCTTTTGTGTTGTCTGCCACATTACTGATAATGTTATGCATTGTAAAACAAATAAGTTGACATTTAAAGTTGCTGAATAAAATGTGCAATTTACTCATGCCCATCTTAAAAGCCCTGCACACCCCCTGCAGGTGTCTTCACTTATTCTGGTTGATTACACCTCTACTCAAGTTGAGGTTAAATGGAGTAAACAGAACTAGGTACAACAAAGCTAACAAGAGAGTTCCACTAAGTCCTGACATCTAATCAGCCACAGTAATTGAAGTCACCTGTATGAATGCATCACGGCTGTGGAGGACCTTTAAGTGTATTTCTTTAACATTTCTATGAGGTGAAATTCCACAATTGACCAAATTGTGTCAGCTAACAATATTAGAGAGATATACATTTATGTACCGATAGTATCAGTGCATCTCTCTCTGTAAAGCTTCAGTCTCTTTGGTTAAATGATTACACTCTACGGCCTTGTTTCATCACAATCAGGAGGGACAAAAAGACGAGCGTAACAAGCACACAACTGGCTACACACCAGAACAGCAAGTAACTCATTGTAACACACTACAGTTCCAAAAGAGTTACAAGAGACTAGCATTTCAAAGTGTTCTGTTGCTTATAATTGCAACTATTTCTTAAATGAAGGGCAAAGTCCAAAAAAGATCCTTCACAGATTCTAAACAAAGTGTGCTGATTCAGCTGATTTGCAGTCAGTCTAGCATAACAGTCATTGCTGTTGCTCCCTCCACACTTGCTGCAACTGTAAAATCTCTCCAATGTGGATCTTCTTATGTCTTTTCAGGTTCTCCCCCCGACTGAAGCTCTTTCCACACTGGCTGCAGTAGTACGGTTTCTCCCCTGTGTGGACCCTCTTGTGTTTTTTCAGGTCTCCCGCCTGACTGAAGCGTCTCCCACACTGTACGCAGCCGTACGGCTTCTCTCCTGTATGACAGCGTTGGTGGATCCTCAAGTTCCCGAGCCGGCTGAACGTCTTCCCACACACGACACACAAGTGTGAGTCATCTCCCCTGAAGTGCTCCATCCGGAATTTTCTCCCATCAAATGCAGCCCTGTGGGTTTTTGCAAAGCCATGCCTCCTAGATAGGGCATGTTTTGAGTTGACAAAGACGCGCTCGCAAAGCTCGCCACCAACTTGTGACCCGGGTGTCTCAGCAGAGTTCTGACGAGAAGAGTTGCAGCTTAAATCTACGCATCCACCATATTGTTGTTGAAGAGACGGCGGTTCTGACGCTGTGCAGTCTGTCAGTTCGAACTCTCTTTTGATAATCGCCAGGTTCACCCCGAGTGAGGCTCTCGAGTGAGAGGCGCACGCGTCATTGGGTGACACGGCACTGATCTCTGTGTCTGCACTATGTGCTGTGTGGACCGTCATTGCGTCCTCGATAATGTGTGTCGCCACCTCTGGTTGTGCTGTGCAATGTTCTGTTGTTTGTGCGGAGTTGAACTCAGCTTGTGGTTCCGTGTTATTGTAGCTCTCCTGTGGTTTGAACTCCTGCTTCACGTCATGGTCAGGTTTGTGGCTGCTTATCTGGTTTTGCTCGGCGAGAGGGAGGTCCAGGTCCTGCGTAAAAGCGAGCATCCAATCCTGCTCTTGGCTCTGCATGTCTTCTTTTTCTTCAGGTAATGGACTACTTGTAGGTAGAACAGCTGTGAAATCAAGACCTGAAAGAAGAAATTGTTATATTTGAATAAGGAACTCATGAATAACACAACCGCGACCCGATCCCGGATAAGCGGACGACGATGGATGGATGAATAACACACTTCAACCAGTATAGGATAGTAGCATTATCTATGATTCAAGGGAATTGCACTTGTTACCCACCTATGCTCGATCTTGTTATCTTGTCCTGAAGCTCCTGCAGCCTTCTCTTGAGACTCTCGTTCTCTCTCTGTGTTCTGGCAGTTTTCTCCTGGTACTCCGACACCGTCTCCTTCACCGCCCCCAGCACCTCATGCACCGCCTCAGTCAGGAGCTTGGCCACTCGAGCATTCAGGCGTTCAAGTTTAGACATCCTGAAATAAAACGAAACTTAGGGTTAAGAAATGACTGTAGACTGCTTGTGCAAGATCCTCTGCAAATGGAGACATATGTATACAACTCTTATTGCATAATCCTGTGTGACAGCACTACTTCCTATTGTTCCTATTCACAAACTGCACTGCTGTGTTTAACAGGGGAAATGCATTAATAATGTAATATAAATAAAACTGCTGGTCTAGGCAAAGAGAGTTACATGTATGTTTAAATATACATCCAAATCCTAAATCTAGAGTATTAGCATTGTTATGCCAATGGTGTTTCCAGCATTTCCATGTTACTCTTGACATTAAACGTTTTACATTGATAATCTGATATTCTGGTGGTCATTTTTACACACCAGGGTCGTTTCTGCCTGTTTTAAGTTATTGGCAATGGGGCTGTACATTAAACAAGTAACATGTTTGCTAAGTATCACACTCCGATCGGCATATCCACTGAGAGGTAATGTTATGTTCAAGCTAGGCGGTTTATGTCACTAACATCAGAGCAAACGTATAGCAAACACGTGTTGAATGACCGCTACTGTCAGTTCGCTAGCTAACATTAAGCATGCTCAGAGCCGCTGTACCTGCAAGCTAGCTTAGTCGTGAAGTCAGCAGCTACACTGTAACGTGGGTAGCTAACGTTAGCTACATTAGCTAGCTAACTCGGTGCGTTATCCCCTTTAACACTTTAAACAAACGCGTCATGTGGTTACTATGTTAGCAAGACTTTTCAGTAAGTTTCAGGTAAAAGACAGTTCAAGAAAAAACTGGAAACGATAAAGCAAAACACATATCGGAACACAACTCGTGACCCCCGGAAGAAGATCCTCATTACGTCTGCTCTGTGAATCGGGTGGTTTTCAAAATAAAAGAGTTTGATACATTTGTGAGTTTGCATATCTATGTAAATATTATATATATCTTTATTCACTTGACATCTGATCTCGAGCAGTTATCTTTGCCTCCAACTGAAGTATTCTGTTGATAAAACGAGAAACTTTGTTGTCCTGTTATTTTATACATCCAACAATTTAGTAACTAAAATGGCCAACCTCCATGCTTAGACGTATCCAACACAGTATGCATATAAAATAGTGTTGTTGTTTTGTACCCATCGTTAAAATAAATAAATATACAAGTGCTACAGTAAAAAATAAGAAAAAACATTTTATGTAACACAGTGTGTCAGTTACATATCTAGTTGGATACTTCTGTTGCCTCCTATGCATACATGATAGCACATCCACAAGCACATAAAGCTGCACAGAAATATATAGAAATACACTGAAATAATTTACTTAACCGCATCAAAATACAATATTTATATGCAAACTTAACTTAGAAGAATACACAGGGTTTCTTGGTGGTGGCTGAATGACTGAGAAAGGCATGCACAGCCTCGTCAAACACCTCATCCAGTACATGCTGGTTGATTGAAGCACACTCAAGATATTTCACAGCCTAAAGGTGCTTTGCCATCTTTGTTCCCTGCTGCTTGGTGACAGTGGTCTGATTTTGCTCTCCCAGTTTCTCCTGATCAACATATAGGTCACATTAGGGCATTAACCTCTGGATGCTGTTTGCGCTTGACATTCTCATAAGATGTTTGGCTCGCAGCAGATTAGCAGATGATGACATTGGCTTGGGTGTAGCAGAGGGGGCGTAAATGGTCGTATTCCTCCCTGCCAGCGGTGTCCTCAAGGTTCAGGCTGACAGTCTGGCCATCTACATTCACCTGGGTACTGTATGTGTCATAGAAACCTGGTATGTACTCCTCAGGAAAGATCTTTTTGATGTAGGTGAAGAGTAAATAGGTCTTTCCTACTCCACTGTCTCCAACAACCATGCACTTGACACTTTGCATCATGACAACTTCGCCTCAAGAAATTCTGGAACAGAAAACTTGATTCAGCATACCACAGGTTTCAAATTAAATTGATTTGTATTTCAATTTCCCACTTCAACATCTGCCCACATTCAACAGACTGTAAAAAAAACTTCTATTATTATTGCAGTGTCTGATCAAGATAATGGTGAACTGGGTTTGATCTGTGTTTTTCAGGCTCAAACTGAAATACAAACTGAATCAAAAAGCTAGCCACAGGACAATATGTAACAATAACTTATGTTTATTTTATTGTTTATTTGTGACCAATAATAGAAACGGAACCAATATCAAACAGACTAAACGTAAAGATCAATCTTACTTGTCAAATATGTTGTATCAGTCTTCTGGCAATGTGTTTTGGAGCTCGTCTATGAAAAAGTGTAAATAATCGACGTAGTAGGAAGTGACATGTCTGGTTAAGTAGGCCGTCCTTTGAACCCAGCATCAAGTTTAGACAAGATACGCCTTTGTTGTGAAGGAAAGGGAAGTAGTTCAGAAATGTTGGGATTGGGCAACACCTTCAATGTTTCATCATCCCCTTTTGAAAAGTGATGCCATGTTTTTCATATATGCCCAGCCTTGTTTAACAGTCAGAGATCAATCATTCATGATTTATATACTTTCCATGCTGATATGGATTCTCTAAAGGCAGGATTTATTATTGAATTACACAACTGCATGACATCACTCTCGAGACTGTAATTAATTTCACTACCGACAACTAATCAGTCCTGAGAAAGATCAACTTTAAACTTCAATGTTTTTCAACGCACTGACTTACACGGTGAAGTTTTCCCCGGCAGGCTACAATTTGCTCACCGCTCTGCTGCTTTAAAGTTTTCAAGTTGACACACAATGTACGATTTCTTGGGGTGGGATTCAGTTTGTGTCGGATCACTTCACCATAAAGAAGTACCAAATAGGTTTATTTGATTTCGAAATTGGAAAACTAGGCTCGTATGGCAGAAACAGAATAATTAGACTGTGCTTGATACTTGAAACTGTAAACATAACTGATAACTTGACATTGAACGTTAAGAATACAGCACCTTTTATCATTCTATCTGTAGCTTACAAACAGGTAGCCCTTTCACTGTCCAGCAATAATATTATAGGGAAAGTCTGGATACAGCAGCCTCACAGATGAGTTTGCTGGTGTTTCTTCATGTTGCTTGAGTGACTAAAACTTTTCCCACAATGACTGCAGCCAAACGGCTTCTCCCCGGTGTGGTAGCGCAGGTGCACCGTCAGGTAGCCCGACTGACTGAAGCGCTTCCCGCACACCGAGCAGCAGTACGGCTTCTCCCCCGTGTGCACCCTGTTGTGTTTCTTGTAGTCGCCTGCGTGTCTGAAGGTGCGACCGCAGAGCGAGCAGCAGTAGTGCTTTCTGACGTTTCTCGGGAACGCTCTCGAGCCCGAAGCGCCTGCTTTCGTGTTTGCTTGAGCGGTGTGTGGTTTTTCTCCTCCGACGCAGCTCGTGTCGTTGTTTCTTTGGGACAGTGGCTCCTCGGCCAGCCTGAGGACGACCCCCGACTCGTTGTAGAGTCCAGAATGAGCTCGAGGAGGTTCTGGGTTTGGTCTGTGTGAGGGTGTGGCGCTTGTACCATCATAAGAATAATTTGTGGTGCGCATGGCTCCTTCGTCCAACACCGGCTCTACTTTCATTTTGTGACCGTGTTCAGACATTGTGACCGCAGTGATGGAGCCCACATGGTTGGAAACTGACAGTCCCTTCTCAGTCTCTGTCTTAAGAGCCGTTGGATTGTTCAAGTCATCCCCACTTAGATGCGGTCCTGTCGTAGGGGAGAGACAGGAAGTGGCTAATGATGTGATGGATGCTTCATAGTCAAGGTGTTTGAATGAATACGAGGGATAAATCACTGCAATGTCCTTATCAGAGCGGAGGAGTTCAATGTCCTCTTCTTTCTGTTTCTGCTCCATCAGACGCAGCTCTGCCTCATACTGCTGGGATGCACGGGAAGTTTGTGCCACAACTCCTGCGTGACAACAAAGATGGCAAAGCACAAAAGAGAGGAATTGAAAGACTTAAAAAAAAAAAAATCGAAATCAATATTTCCGGACACAAGTCTGTCTTACCATTGCTTCCCAGTTGTAACTTGTCCTGCAGCTCCTGCAGCCTCCTCTTCAGAATCTGGTTCTCTCTCTGCGTCCTCGTGGTTTTCTCCTGGTACTCTGACACAGTCTCTTTCACCACCTCCAGAACCTCCTGCACAGCCTTACACAGCAGCTTTTCCACTCGGGCATTCAGACGTTCAATTTTGGACATCTTTATTCAGCTGATAGTCAGAACAAAAAGAGAATATGAGTCGATCCGAGTGTGTATTTCATCGACATTTTGCAGGAAGCTTTCTATCAATATTACAGATGTATACCAACTATCAAATGCTCCTTTATGAAAATACCATAGACGACAGCTATAACTGCAGCGATACAGATTAATCACTATTAGCGCAAAAGCATATAAAAAACAAAACATCTCACTATGTAATGGGCTGAAACAATAGTACCGTGCCTTAACTAAATAAAAAGCAGCATACCTTGAACCCAATGCAATTCCGTTTAATATCGTCGCAGTCGATGATGAATCCCAGATTATCTAGTGGTGATCCAGATGAAAACGCTCATTGTTTACTACATTCCCACTCGCGCAGATATTCGCAATTAGGTTGCAGAATCCTATCTCAGGACGTGGCGGACCGGGAGTCCGTTTGGCATACAGCCTTTCAAGGAGATAAACGCAGTTGGATTATAAAATGGTTTGGCGTATAAATATCCCTAAACATTCGGGTATCCTGCGCACCAAACAATACCAAACACATCATCTCCTTCCTGGTTTTAAGGCGACTTGGCATCTAACGTAAATTGCGTTGCTGCCAGCTAGTGGTGAGTGCGCGAACACATCCAGAATACATCTACAGTCATTCATGCACGGATGGTCTTATAATATGGATTTCTGATTTATATCCCTTAAACTCTGACTCAGAGTCCTGTCACTGATGGGGGAAATTGATCTGACACACAATCACACACACATTTTTGAAGTTCCTTCTACCTAAAACATATTGCACAAGTTTAGATTGTTTCCCTCATTGTTTTATTTTCTTCTGCACCTCAATGAGGTTAATGACTCAGAGTACACATAGCTAATGAGAACTTATTACACAATGACTTGTCATTTCAGCAACAGATTGCATTTACACAAACTTAAAAAGTGATTTAAAGGTCTGATTACATGTTCAACCCTTTTCCCTAAATATATCATTTTCAAATACACATAAAAAGAAGCTGTTGTAAGACTGTTACAATATGGCAAAAAAACAGTTCATACAAACGAGGTACATTCAAACAGGGGGTTGCTCTTCACTAGAAATTTCAAAGTGAAAGCACATTTCCCCTAAACAGACTGGTACTCATGGCTGTCCCTCTGGAGTTGTATCCTCAAACAGACTGAGCAGGTTCTTTGGTTCAAAGTTGGGTCGGGGTAAGGCCTCCTCGGTTCGGACCCAGTTGCGACCACCTCGCTGCGAGGACTTGCTGGATGGTGAATGGCGGCTCTGCGTGGAGTTTTCGTTCATGCGATCTGCATAAAGCTCTGCATGTATGGGGCTTGCACTGGGTGTCAGTGTGTGGCAGGAACCATTTGAGTAGATGCTGGAAGGGGTTTGCGCTAAGTTACAGGAGGACCAATCACCCAGATTTGAGTGAGCAGGTGTGCGGGCAGGACTTCGCTGAGTGTGTCTCGGGGACCCGGGGAGAGGAGTGGATGTGCTTTCCACAGATAGTCTAGATTTAACCCTGTGGAATGGAGGAAATGTAAAAAAAAAATAAAAATAAGCAGGGAATTTGACAGAAATAACACATTTAGCTCAAAGCAGTGTTCAAATAATTCTCTATATTTCGCTGTTGTAATACAATGCTCTACCTGTGTGAGAAGGTGGGGGAAAGCTCTGGGTCTGTAGGGTCCAACAGAAACACAGCGTCATCCTCTGGGCTCCCTGAGTCAGCATGCATGGCACTGAGGGGCAGGGTTAGATCCTTGTCCCAGCTGCCCTGAGGAGGAGTGCAGGGCAGTGGCTTGGTCCAGTGAGGCAGAAAGGACAAGTGAAGGGACGACAGGAGTCTACACCCAAAGCACACTACCAACTATGGGGAAAAAGAGCAGAAAAATACAAAAATGAAACATTGAGGGTTGATTTAAAAAGTACACTTTTATGTTTTAGGTTTTCATTACATGTAGCATCCAACAGACACGCACCTGACAGAGGGAGACCAGTGTCAGCGTGGTCTCGGCGACCAAAAGATAGAGGCGCCTCTTCCACCTGTGCTTCCTAACAGAGGGGAGAGCAAGAAGCTCAGAGACCGTCGGCCTCTCAGACGGTTCTGGGGCCAGCATCATCCGCAGTACTGTCTGAAGCTCAGTCGAAAGGCCTGCAAACACAGACGGAAATAGTAGAAACATGAGTCGTATCAAAAGGTAGATCGAAGATAATGGAACAATTTACGAGGACTTAAAAAGGAAGTGGATCGTACCACTGGTTAACTCTGAGGGGAGGCAGCCTTGCCTGAGCTGCTGCCAGCCCTCGCCACCGTTCGGAACCTCCATGTTACAGGCAAGCTCCAGAATAGAAACACCCAAACTAAATGAAAAAAAGGATATTTTGGCACTAATTTAAAACAGATCAACCGGTTACATGTTTCACGATATGATTTAACTTTCTTATTTATGTTAGTTGTACCTGAAAACATCTGCAGCGGGTCCATACTTCCCACGGAGCAGCTCAGGGGCCATGTATCTGGGATCTCCCTCCTGGACGTCGTCTTTTACTTTCCCCTCTACGGACTCTGTGTTCTTCTCTTTGAGCTCAAACAGCAGCCCGAAGTCCCCCAGCTTAAGACGGCCAGAGTCAGTAATAAGAACGTTGGCGGGCTTAAGGTCCAGATGCACAAAACCGCGAGAGTGCAAGTGTTGCAATGCTGAGAGGAGGTCGCACAGGTAGGCCCAGGCTGCAGGCTCATCTGGAAACGAAAAGCCAAGTCAGTACGTCTGGAGCAAGAACATCATGCATTATATGTAGCAAAATTTGACAGCTAATACAACATCTGGGTAGATTTGAATCGCGTCTTGCGGACACACCTGGGCCGGGAGGCTGGTTCTCAGCATGGAGCAGCAAGCTGGTGCTACACAGCTCTGTCTGAATGTACAGTCGGCCACACTCCTCCCAGGCTGCCACGAAATTCAAGATGTGAGGGTGAGGACAGAGGCGCTCGTGGTTCCTGGCTTCCCTCATGCTCCGGTTCCTGTCACTGTTGCCCCTGAAGCGGTGGGCAGAGCGCTTGACTGCATACTGACGGCCATCCTTGTTGCTTTCCACCTAGAAAAATTAAGAAAATGCTGAGGTCTTGTCTTCTTCTCAGGGATCTCTAACAACATATAATTCAATATATGTAATTACATCACTTTCATTAACATATATAGACACATTTTGCTCACCTTGTAGACCTCTCCGAAGGATCCTCTTCCCAGCAGACCCAAATTAGTGTAGCACTGACTGAAATAGGACTGCTGTTTGCTGGGATCATATACCGAATTCGGAGGGGGAGACTTACTGAGGGAACAGGACAGGGGTGTCCAGGGGGATAGGTGCTGGGGAAACATCCGGCTCAGAGGGGGGCATCCCTTGGATGGCGGCAGTGGGGGCAGAGAATGAGAGAGCCGGGCAGGGGAACAGTAGGATGAGTTGGACAAAGACGATGAGGAAAAGGGGAGACGGCGTTTTTTAAGGGAGAAGGTCTGCTCCGCGTGGGAGAAGTGGGTCGGAAGCGGGAGAGGCACTCTGGACGCTGTAGTTTCCATCGCCACGGACATCGTGTCGGCACTTTTTCCGCTCCTTTCTTCAAAGATGGAGAACTGAAACATTGAAAAGAAAAAAATTAAGCACAAGCAACATTGATCGATGAAATGTGCCATTTTGCACCGCTCATGCAACCTACTTTTTTTCTACAGATGCTCATCTAAAATTATGAAGTAATCTGTCACACTCAATTGCCAAAGAACCAAAGCAAATAATATTTAACTGTCTCCCTAAAACTGACCAAATTGGATCTGCCAATCTGTTCAGGCACCAAACATACCTGTGTTTAAGTACCAGGAATTAGTGGAGGCTGTATTTGTCAGTCCAGCTATATACTATCATTCTCGACTGAAGCTTCTGAACAAACTGCTTGACTTGTTGTCGGCCAATTGTCTGATACAAGTATCGATACACTTGATCTATTGGTGGTCAGCTCGTTTGTAGAGCAGGTCTAGCCAGTAGAAAGCTATCGGGGTCAACAGGTAGAACCTGCACGTAACGTAGCTAGGTCAACCTAAGGAACACCCTACTCAACCCAACGTTAGTCAACAACATAATGACGTAACCTCGCTAGCTAACCTACAGTTAAACAACGTACTGACAGTTCATCCTTACGTAGGGTAGAGTGAAGTAACGTCGTTACACAGACCATAATACAGTGTTAACGGCGGACCGTCGTCAAAAAACAGTGGGGCTCAGCTCGCCAGTGTCCAAATCAAACGGCGGCGTACTCCCCTCGAGCATGTCAACAACGTTACCTCGCGCCAAATTCTGAAAATGATACGTAGCGCTGCGTACTTTTCTTCCGTGAATACGGAACGCTTATCTGACTTGCGCAATTTCCGCAAGCGGTGCAGTCTGGGGTTGTGCTGCACAAACACAGGGCTGGCGCAACTGGCTAGCTAGCTGAGCACTTGAAATGGTAACTTTATTATTATTATCGGTCGTTTTTTTTAGATTGATGCCTAGATACAAACACTGAATACACGTTCAGCGCTTTGTTTAAAAGCATTAGCGCGTATAGTAACAAACGATACCGACGGTAGTGGTCATGTTTATTTCCGTTTGTTTTTGCTAGCAAGCTAACAATGCTAGGCTTGCTACGTTAGCTTCGCCTTCTCATCTACCGCTAGCTATAACGAGAGTTGTATCTAGTTCGCGAGGTAACTTATCTTAGCTTGGCTAACCTTGGAAGTAATGTTAGCCAGCTAACCCAGTCAGGCCGGTCTAAACAGCCGAGCGTTTACTGTCATTGTCAGACCTACAGTACAGTGTCTAGTCATTTAACTGTTTCACTTTCAAACATCTCGAGGCTAATGTTGCGTTAGCTCGGAGCTAAATGCACTGTTCGTTGATTGTTGGTAACGTTAGCTCATGAATCAACGAATTGTCAGTAGTGTTACTACCTCTGTATCCGAAAAATAACCTGCCTGACACATTAGCATATCAACCAAGACTTGAATTTCTTTTAAAGGGTTCGCCAACTATACTAGCTTAGTCTAACGTTACATACAGTTCAGTAGTGTGTAATAATATGCCATGTGGACACTTATCACGACTTACATGGCCTCCTGAGAAGTTTTATTGAATAGAAAGTGGTTAGAGGACCCACAGATTCCTCTAAAGGCCTACTTTTTGGTGCCATTCTAAACATTTTTAGCACCAATTTCAAACCCTCATCTTCGAAATGCCTTTAACACAGTTTTTAAATCATATATTTCTATCCCCCACTTTCCCTTTAGGACGTGTTCTTAATGATCCGGCGTCACAAGACAACAATCTTCACAGATGCCAAGGAGTCTACCACTGTGTATGAGCTGAAGCGTATTGTTGAAGGAATTCTGAAGAGACCACCTGAAGACCAGAGGCTGTACAAAGTGAGTTTAGGGACAAGTATGCCAGTGATACCTAATTAAGTCCAGCCGCATATCTGACAGCATCACAGTTGTGTCTGGGTGATGGTAGTGGCATGTAACTTGTCTTTCCAAAAGGTGACTTAAACATTCATTGGAATATCTCACACTCGATGTATACATTTTAACTTTTGTCCCACAGGATGACCAGTCGCTAGAGGACAGCAAAACTCTTGGAGACTGTGGATTCACCAACCAGACTGCCAGACCTCAAGCTCCAGCTACAGTTGGTCTGGCCTTCCGTGTAAATGGTACGTTATATTTATGTGCTTCTAAGAATTGGGGATGATAATTCTTTTTTTCATGCCTCAGTTTCGGGGACAGCCGTGGCCGGAGGCAATATGTTTTCGGTTTGTCCGTCTATCGGTCTAATATCTCGGGAACACCTAGAAGGAAATAGTTTAAGTTTGGCACAAACGTCCACCTTCACTAATTGATAAACTGATTAGATTTAGAAATATGCTGCCAGGCAGTAATTCTAGTTCCTCATATTTGGGTGATTTCCTGTCTTTCTGCTTCTTCTCAATGGAACTCAGCTTTTCAATCTAGAAGTCTTGTCTTACTTGTTCAGTTTAGTTGAATGTCAGTAATACATTTGCGTGATAATTTGCGCTTTGTGCAAGTTAATCTGCATCAATCTCATTTAGGCTCCCAAGGTCTGTAATTGGGTGCTGCACAGTATGTATGTCAGTAGATTACTGTGATTATCAACTACTGTAACCCATTCATGCTCTTGCAGTGAGAGAGCACGTTTAGGATTATGCAGCAGTGTTCAAAAGTCCCACAGGGACAAATCCAATGCAGACAAGACAGTGATATTAACATCGCTAGTTTTTATGCATTTTCAGTAAAATGCACAATGTAGGGCCACCGACGTAGCTCACGTTGTAGAGCCAGCGTCCCCTGTACCACGGCTGAGTCCTCACCACAGCGGCCTGTGTTCAAATCTGATTCTGGCCCCATGTCGTCCCCTCTCTATCCCCCTCTCCAGTCTATCTATTGAATTATAAAGGTTAAAAAAAAAAATCTTTATATATGTAAATTGTTTATAATAATTTAAAAGCTAACTGTGATGGTCTCTTTTCCATCACTAAGCCATGGCTATTTTGGTTTTACGGTAATTCTTCATCACAATGTACATTAAATATTTGATTTGAGCCTGAGAAGTGTCTCTAGAGATTATTTTTTAATTAAACTAAAAACTGTCTATGAATGCAGTCTGAATATGATTCACAAGAATTGTATCCCATGTGGATTTTTTCACTGTCCAGACTTTATAAAGTCAATTTGATTCTATTGTGGATATACCAAAAATGATCTTGTGATTCTCACTACTTCCAGAGAGGAGATGCACTAGTTTGCATGTGACCAAACACTTTGATTATAAAACATTAACCACAGTAGTTCTTACTTTCCAGTTTAGGAACATCCACCTAGAAAGACATGCCACAGTCAATGGCTATAGCCACATGCTACTCTGCTGTCTTGATGGAGCTGATGTTTCCTTGTGTCCTCTGCCCTTTCAGATGAGATGTTCGAACAGCTCCACGTCGAGGCCTTCTCCAGCCCCCCAGAACTCCCGGATGTGATGAAGCCTCAGGACTCCGGTAGCACTGCCAACGAACAGGCTGTGCAGTGATAACAGGGAGAGGAAACGAGCAATGGATGGAAGTGGGTGTGTGTGGATTAACTGCAGTGGAGAAGTAGCAGGGTGGAGGATAATGTAATATAATTTCAGTTGACGGATGGGGGACATTCTAGGTAACCAAGCCTATCCATGTTACCTTCATGCTATCATCCCAGCATCTCCCCCAATTTGCTTCACAAATCATTGTTTTTTTTTTTTAAAACTCTTTGTAGTTTCCACATCACAAGCGGTTCTGCTCCTTGACTTTGCTCTTAAGCACCAACTGGCTAAAACTTCTTGAGTGAATATGTTGGTTTGGAAAGTATGATCGTGCGTGAGTTATTATAATTATTGTCATTAATATTTTGGAAAAGGTGAAAGCGTAGTTGTGTGTCACAGTGCTCTAGAAGTAACATGCATAGGTAAGGAGTCGGGCGTCTGAATCGGCAAACTGCATGAAGAAAATTCAAAACAAAGGCTTTAAAGATAAACCGTGAACTGATACTGTTTCCTTGGTGTGATTCTCCCAGTTTTGTTGTACGTTTCTGATTTGATTTCATACCAGGAAAGAAAGTCTTTATAATAATTCTGTGTAGTTTCGTGTCATCATTTTTGTTTTTTTCAGTATGTTCTACTTGTCCGTTCTTTGTTGTATGTTTCATGCACTGAGACCAAAGGCCTCTTGGACAACAGAGGGATTTTTTTTTTTTGGTCAAAGGATATTCTGTCTGTGGCACACTGTATACACAGGAGGAGGGTTTACTGGCGTTAACACTTAATCACCACATGTCCCCAACTTCAATGTGGCACCTAAATCACACAAACATTGCCTGTAACTGTGAGCTTGCATAATTAAAAGTTTTTCCTGTTTTGTTTTTTACACTGCTGGCTGATTTTTTTTAAATTTTATTTTAAATGCAAGCTTACGTCAACATTTAAGGAAGATGACGGAATGTAAGCGGTCTGTTGAAGGGCTGTAGCTACCGTAGGCCTTAATCACAGCAGACATTCTGAGCAGGGACATCGTAGGAGACACACAGTAATTACAATGGCTCTGTTCTATTTAAGTGTCCAAATAAGGGGTGACAGTGAGTCAGCATGCACAGCACCAGGACCCTGAAACTGAAGCTGCTAAGTGAAATTCAGCTGTTGTGGATTTCATTATTTACACCTGTGCTTTTGTGTGACTTCAAAAAGTCTTCAGTGAAAAAGACTCTCTCCAGACCTCTAGGGTTCCCAAAAGTCTCAGCTCCACTGTAGCAGTTGCTTTTTGGTATTCACATTACTTGCAAATTTGTGTGGGACTTTGCACCGCCACCATGTTGTGTATTCAAATGTAGGCACTATGTCAGAATGTAGTTCTAACATATTTATCACCTTATATTGTGCTCACATGGTGCATTTTCCTAAATTCAGTTTCAACAAATGACATGTAGGCCAAACTAACATGGCCTACAGCAAACCTGGGGAGGAATCCATTATCAGAGAGGTTTATGGATCTCTGCAGAATCTAATGAAGCTGCTGCCATCTGCCTTGTGCAGTGTGTTATATAATTGATGGGAACTTGAGAGGCAACAAGAGCCCCAAAACAGTTTAGGGGATACTTCCTTTTTCTTCATGTATTTCTTAAAAGATGCACACACCCTCACATTGATTCTTTTTTACTTGGTTGTTCATACTGGCCATAAAGTAATTCCCTCGTGTGTGTTATGTGTAAAAAGGCACAATCTATTTTTTTTTTAATTACAGATTTACGTGTCTCTTCTTCTAAATGGTCTGATGATTTCTTAGATGTAGACTAATATTTATCTTGATCCTCTCTACGGGGCCGGTATAAAATACTATATTTAAAAGACAAAGTAGAAAAGGTAAAGCCTACATGAGCATTTCCAAATACAAGCATTTACAAGCTCCTTCTTGAAGAAGAGGGGGGCGCCGCCCATTAAGTGTTTATCCTGCTGTGAAGGACAGTAAGTGCATCGTCCAATACTTTCTTATGTAGCAGTTTACATCGTCGCAGCGGGGCGTCGAGCCACAGTTTGTGCAGCTCGCGTCGCCACTAAATCCTTAATTTTCTCTCCCAAATATGGACTAGGAATGTCCAGGATGACGTCGCGTGTCCGGGGAATGCGGGGTTTGTAAACCACATTTATTTAACTACGCCTTCTTCCAGTCTGAGGTCCTGGTAGGCATTAAACAGGAAGAGAGTCGTGTAGGAAAAAAAAAAGAAACGGGACGCCCTCCTCATTCTCCTCCTCCTCCTCCTCTCTTGGCGGATAACGGTGTCCAAGAAGTTATTCAGGACCGACGCACAGACAATAGCGCCGAGACTAGTCTCTGTTGCGGGCTTTGATACGCTTCCATCACTACTTATTAATGCTGTCCGCGTCCGTATTGTGTCACACGAAGAGGAAAACACTCGGCTGAAATCACACCATGGACGATTTGGGTAAGTATCGGTGCTGTTCTTCTGCTACATGTTGAGATATCTTCAGGGGATCTCTGGGAAGGGGTGGTGTGCCCAGACCTCACAGTCTCTGGCCCAAACAGAGGAAATAAGGTCTGTTCATTCTGGCAGTCTCAGTGGAGTAGAATTTCCTTTTTTGTCCACAAGGACATGTACTGGGCTGTAATGATAAAGGGGGATTTTATTGGCTCCCATAATATCTTAAGGTAGAGAAAAGCTATACATCCTGAAATATAAATACACAACTTCTATGTCAAAACATTGTTCCTCCTTATCTCATGATATTGTCCTGTTCACAGTAATTCTCTCTACAGTGTGCTCCCGTCCTCTTGAGATTTAAAAAAGTATTTTTGTTGTTGTTGCAGAATTTACCTTTTCAAGCAAACAGGCCACACATGCACACATACTCCCACAGGTACCACAAGAACTGGTACTACATTACTCCTTCTGCCCGACACTGAGTGCTTTGTGCATGCCCTGCAAATTCAATAAATTCTTTGTAAATTAGATTAAAAGGGATCCACGGCGGGCTTTCCCATCCATTCATATAAGCAGGTCAGGGATGGAGAGAAGCCACATAATGCTCAACAGAGTATTCCATTTTGAATACATCAAAGAGGGTTGTGGCCAGCGTCTGGGAGCGTGACTGCTTCTGTCTTTTTCTATTGATGAACATGTCAGAAGAAGATTCCTTCTCTTTTTCTCAAAACAACATTATGAGAAGCTCCCTCTTTGTGTGTCGGAAAGGCCCTGAAATAGCCCAGGGCCACGCTGCTATTTCAAAAAAAAACACAAAAAAAAAAGCCACAGATTTCAATGAAAAAAGAAAGGCCCTTTCGGCCTCAGCTGCCCATTTGCTTTCTCATGAACTTTCGTCCACTTCAGAATTAGGGGATTTATGCTTTACAAGCAATTCTGGAAGGAATGGCTAAGATGTAACCAAGCACATCTGGGCACATCTGGATCCGATTGCACACTAGAGAGAGAGACCCAGAGTTACTGGGTGACTGGGTGAGCATTAGTCAGGCGGTGGCCATGTTCGGGACACTCTGTTTATGCTGTTGTCTAATAATGTTGCGTGTTTTAGGCTTTGGATCTGGCGAGGCTTTTCTGTGAGAGAGACCACTTGTTAGAGAGGCCGTTGGCCAAGACAAACAAGTCGGCAGGCCGCTCTAAATATGGTCACGATTCCCATTGAGAGAAGTTCAGCTCCTTATATGAGCAGACCAGTCTGTAAAAGTGTGTGTGTGTGTGTGTGTGTGTGAGAGAGAGAGAGAGAGAGAGAGAGAGAGAGAGACACAGCAGCGCGGAGGGCCAGTAGTACATGCGCAAGCTTCTCACCACATGGTCGTACCAGAAGTGTGAATCATCTGTGGCAGAAGTGACCTCAGGGTTGAACTAATGCGGGTTAAGTTGGTTCTGTCCATCGTGTCACGTGACTGATCACCAAAGACATTTGGTTGATCTGCCGTTACCAAAACAAACCAAAGCAAAGTTAACGGGTGTATACGGAGTGATGAGGTCTTCAGCACAGGGTTATAGTTAAAGCTTTTTAACAAGGGACAGCACCTGAAAGCTCTAACTATAACCATGTGCGTCTGCTCGGGTACCTGGTTTTATGCCTGATTCTTTTCTTAAAAGTGTCTACCAGTACCAGTGATTCCCAGCCAGAGGGTACTTCTGCAATTCCTAAGATGTGTATTTATTGTATGTTAATAACCGATAAAATACCAGCTATGATAATTCAATTACACAACCTGAGTCAGTGTTAACACTACAACATGCAGTTGGGAGTGTGTTTACAAGCAAGCAGAGAGGTCAAAATCGATTTAAAAAACGTGACGGATTAAATGGTTGAAGCATTCAACTTATTTTACTCCAACTGGTAGTGGTGTGCAAAGCTACTAATGAGACCAAACCTAAACATCAACAATTCAAGGTTTTGTATTTATTAAAATGTATGCAAACAGCATCCGCTGTTGCGTTTTTTTAAGGGGGCACACCACCATAAAGATCATGTTTTACTTCTTTTCAAAATGCCATTATTTTCTTGCATTCCCAAATGCAATACAGGGTCCTTATTACACTCAGCACATGTGTCTGGAATATTGTTGTCAAAGTAATTTAACTGGTGTTACATATACAGTATGTGCATGAGCCAATTATATTGTATCACTTTAGATGTCTATTTAAAGATAATTTCTGTCCCTAGTCACATACCCCCTTTAATATAGAAATAAACACATTTTAACATGAAGGGTGCTGATTGAGGGATGCTGCAGCTCATCTGATAGGGCTGTGGGGGTGTATCATGCAAAAAAGTTTTTTCCCTCTTACCTGTAATGCTATTTATCAAACTAGATTGTTTTGGTGCGAGTTACCGAGTGCTGGAGATATTGGCCGTAGAGATGTCTGCCTTCTCTCCAATATAATGGAATTGTATGGCACTTCGCTTGTGGTGCTCAAAGCACCCAAAAAAGAAAATACATTAGAAAACCTCAACATCAATGTATTTATTCCAGAAATCATGACTCAAGATAATCCACAGACCTTGTTCTGAGCAGTTTCATGTAGGAACTATGGTTCCTGCTCTTGTTTATGGTTTTTGGTCTGTGGAAGCAATCTAGATAAATAGCGCAACAGGTAAAGGGAAAGGTGTTTTTGATTTTGGGGTGAACTGTCCCTTTAAGTCTGTGTGAACCCGGTAAAAACAGTGAAATTAAATCTTGTCAAAACAGCAGCCTCCTGTCTACAACTCAGAGTTTGTAATTACTCATGTTCAACACACTTTTTTTTTTTTTTTTTTTAAAACAAACTTTGGCCTGAAGTCGCGCGTACATGGACTTGTCAGCACTAACTGCAGCGACTAACCTTTGAGCAAGTTTCTGGACAGCTTCCACTTGCAGCGAGTGAGATGGGGGTGGAGTGGATTTAGATATCAGTTGCTAAACACTCTTCCTCCTCTGCTTCCTTTCAATGCTGGCATGTCTTGGATAAGTTTGCGTGCCCTCTAATACCTCCGCTGTGTCGATGGATTATCTCTGGGTTGTGCAAACGTCTTGACTGTCTGGTCCTCGGACTGATTGGTGTCTGAGGACGCTCGTTGTCCTCCGTGTCGTGTCTGACCTTTGGGCTGATATGCTGCTGCTGTATTATTGGTCACACAGGCTGTCTGTCTCTCCTTAGGAGTGCCTGAGCCACCTAACTACCCTCTCAGTCCGCGTATTGTTGTGTTTGGTACGTAACTGCCTGTGCATGTGTTTGCATGTTTCATTGTGTCTGGCATTTACATGACTTCATATGATCTGTCTAACATCCAGTGTGTGTTTTCGTCTCCACCTGTACTGCATGCTTTTTTAAAATCCATTTCTTAATTCATATCTCTTTTTATTTCCCTTTCATGGTGTATAAACAAACTGATAACACTATCATGGACATCATAAAGATAAAAAGATACGTCATGGGGTCGTTAAGTGTCTTTCATTTTCATCACCATCCAATCTGAAGCTAAATTGAATTGTAAATCTAACCAGAATTTCATCGCATTCGTGCTGTTGGATCAGTTTCTTTTCCTTAAACCTCCCTTGCAGACGCCCTCCTTGCTGATCTGGAGAACACCGGCTCTCCTCTGGCTCGGTGTCCCGTCCTGCTCACCTCTGACCCTCCACAAAATGCTGACCCTGAACCCAAAGAGTCCACCCAAACCCGCCCGCCGCCGCCCGCCTACACCCCACAGCAGGTAGACCACTAGCTAACAGGGAGGGATTCGTTTCATTTTTTTTTACTGCAGATTCTGTTTCCACTCTGATTTTCCACTTCTGGTTTGTCTCTCAGACGGTTTCTGCTGCAATGAAATCTTCGCAGAACTCCAACCCAGACAAATTATACAGGTAACGCCCTCTGTTTTACACGGTGTAATCAAGAATATACTATTTTAAAAAATGTCCATACACTGCAGATTTCTGTGAATATAAGTTCTTCAGATCTTACATCAGAGAGGAAGTGACTACATTAAAAACACACAAAAAAAATGTTGATTACAAATTATACATTTTCGGCAAAGAGTGTGTTTTAAAGCACTGCTACGGACAGATGAGAGTATATACATGAGTCATTTCCGAATGGACAAACTTCAAGAGTCACCTATGAGTCTTGACAAGTGACCATGAAGAAGCCAACCACATTAGTGACGGGAGGTTTCAGGATCTGTGTTAATTTGGGACACCGCCCGTTTTGCCTCTCTTACAGCACAGTGTGTAAACCGCGCTCTCCACGCACAACAGATCCTCCGCCGGCCTTCTCCTCCTCCTCGCTGCTGGGAGGAGGTCTGAGTGAACTGGACCATCTATTACAGGAGCTGAATGCCACCCAGTTTAACATCACAGGTTAGTGTGTGTGTGTGTGTGTGTGTTTTATGTCCCCGTGCTTAACTCTGAGGTGAATCTTTTCTTATGTATGACCTTGTTTTTGTCATCAGATGAGATCCTGGCCCAGTTCCCTTCTTCTAAGAAAGATGAGAGGGACAAGATCAAGGATAAGGTCACGAGCTCCTCCCCCAGGTACCAAAACGATTCAATTTAGTCAAATCTAAAGAATCGCCAGAGTTCACTGCAATTCTAGTGAATGCAAAGAGTTTCTTGTTGAAATAGTTGCACATTAACAGCCATCAACATTTTGTCAGCAATGTTCACAAAGTCACACTCTGATAAATTGTGGGCAGTATACAAGTAAAATCTGATGAAATTGTGTAATTGGGGGGTTAATTCAAACAATTGTCTTTTTTGTTCTAGCTCTGCGAAGCCTTCAGCAACATCAGCCACACTGGAATTGGACAAACTGATGGCTTCTCTGTCAGACTTCAGAGTCCAGAGCACAGTAAGAGTCCACACAACACCACAAAAATGACCAAAATCAATTTTCTTCGAAATGTGACCGCAAGAGCATGCTGGTTTTTTTTCTTCCATCATTCCCAGCTGTTTCAGGCTTTAACACAGCTCATGCTGATTCATGGTGGGTTCATGAAGAAGTTCACTTGACTTCATGATGACTTCACTATTACTGTGCGGCCTGGCACATGCCTCCTGGTATAAATCAGTCACCAGATAGAGCCCGAGGATAGAAATTAGTCTCGGTGGAGATATTTTCCAGCCTCAGAAATATCTTCAGATAGTTGAAAGTCAGAGTTCTACTTTTGGTATGGTACATAATCCCGTCATTCTCCTTCTTCAGTGTGTCTGTGTGCTAGCATGTGAGCAAATGTTTGTTTGGTTCCAGTGTGCAGTCCAGCTGTGAGTTATAAACAAGTGTGAGCATGAGGTAACAGTGAGATTTAAAAAGGAGCATTTCTCCATTGGACACTCTTTACTGTTATCACCAAGTTTTGATTCGCAGTAGGTTACAACATGTTGATACCTACCCGGTTTAGCCAATTTAATTGTATACTTTTGTTCTTGACCACCAGCAGCAAAAAACAATGATATTTCTCTCATAAATGTGTGTATATGACCAGGGCCATTTCTCTCACAAAATGCAACCTGTAATGGGGTTGAAATACATTCCCATCAGTTGAGACAACTATCAGTGGAGGAGTTGATATTTCTGCTACTTCTACAATGTTTTTCTGTGCCTCAGACAGCCTCATATCTGGATGTTTAAAAGCCTTACAGTCAGTCTCTTATGGCAATACATTTCAAACCAAGGACAGATGTGCCATCCATCATTTTGCTTTCTCTTCTCCCAGCCAGCGGTGCCTGTCAATCCAGTGGTAACAGCACCACAGCAGCCCACCCCCCCACCACAGGCCTCCTCCGGCGGCTCATTGGACAGCATGCTGGGGCTGCTTCAGTCGGACCTGACCCGACAAGGAGTTCAAACATCCTCCAAAGGAAACTGTTCGGCTTGTCAAAAGCCAGTCGTAGGACAGGTGAGTTATCAGAATAAGCTTTTAGCACAAGGTTGGGCAGGACTTTGTGTCCAGTTCCCGTCACTGTAATCATCAAAGGATGGTGTTCATTAATCATGTTTTGACTGCGTCCTCTTGCAGGTGGTAACGGCTCTTGGGAAGGTTTGGCACCCGGAGCACTTTGTGTGCACTGAGTGCGAGGCAGAGTTAGGCAGTCGCAATTTCTTTGAGAAGGACGGGCGGCCGTACTGCGAGTCGGACTACTTCACCCTCTTCTCCCCTCACTGTGCGCAATGCAACAAGCCCATTCTGAATGTGAGGGACTCGGTTGTGTGCATGCTTACCCTAAATTGATCCCCCTACCCACCTGAAGCCATTTAACTTTTCACTCCTCTCGTCATTCAGAAAATGGTCACCGCTCTGGATAAGAACTGGCACCCAGAGTGTTTCTGCTGCGTCAAGTGCAGCCGGGCGTTTGGAGAGGAAGGTAATGGGAGGCACACACTGCATCCTGTCTGGGTTCAACACACAACTGTTAACAATGAACTTCAGCAGGGTTGCACTTACAAACAACCCTAAAAGCCCCTGCATGACCTTCTGTTTAAGTTTATAATCTGTCCCAGAGTTTGTAATAGCTACAAATCTGTTTGCACGGGCTGCGTTGCATTGCTTCAAACTGCTATCCCCCTTAAAAACATTTAATTTGTCTGGTTTTCAAGGGAGAATTAATGTTCTGTTGTAAAGGCATCTTTACCCTGCCAAGGATTCAGGGGAAATACTAAATCTTTGGCATGAAAATGGCCAAATTAAATGCAGAACAAGCTTTGAGACAACAACAAAAAATTCCATCAGCCTTTAAAAACTCACATCAGTAAAACCTTAAACCATTACAAACAGATTAATGTCCCACAGACCAGAGTCACGTTTCATACAGTGTTTTCTTGCCAAGCATCATCCAGTTAATCAAACATTTATCAAAGAGACGTCTTGAACTGAGTAAAACTGTATCTTCTGCAGGTTTCCATGACCGTGAGGGGCAGCAGTACTGCCAGCAGTGCTTCTTGACTCTGTTTGCTTCCCGCTGTCAAGGCTGCAGCCAGCCCATCCTGGAAAACTACATCTCAGCGCTTAACTCTCTCTGGCACCCGCAGTGCTTCGTATGTAGGGTGAGTGCTTCTCTGTGGGGTTTCGAACACCGGGTCAGTGAGGAAAGTTATGTTTACATTCAATCTGTATCCTTCGAGTTTTACAAATGTGTTGAGTGTATTTACTTCCTCATTAAACATTTGCAAAGCTGATTTTTTTTTTTTTTATAGCATTTTGAAAATAGTGTTGTTTACATCCATGTTTACTTGATAGAGGTCTTCTTCACTGCTATTGTTGACACATTGCTGGCGTTCTTTGAGTGTGTTCCCACCACCTTTTTATCAGTGGTCCTCATGCATTTTGCATTAGACAAACAAAACGGGGACCCAATCGTAAAAAAATGCCTCATAGTGCTACTAGAGGTAAAAAAACACAGGGTAGCTTTACATTTATCCTGAGGTAATGACCAATGCAGACTATTGAGGACAATTAGGTCGTCTTCTGTAATATTTATTGGAATTTGGCTGGTTTATAATGATATAAAAAGGAGTTTACATTCTATGACTACACACATATTGCATATGTTCAGGTTATTTAAGGCTGATTTAATTTAAAAGTACATTTATGGAATCAGAAATATAATTAAAGGAATCTTGTCAATTACTGTTGAATAAATTACATAGCTGGGCACTGGACCTTAATGGGGCGGCTGTGGCTCAGGAGCTGGAGCGGGTCGTTCACATATGAGAAGATTGGTGGTTCAATCCCCGACTCCTTCAGTCAGAATGCTGAATTGTCCTCCAAGATATTCAACCAGAAGACTGTGTGAGTGTGCGTGAATGGTTACATTAAATCCTGATGGGCAGGTTGGCCCCTTGTAGGGCAGCCTCTACCATCAGTGTACGCATGTGTGTGTGAATGGGTGTAAAGCACTTTGAGTGGTCGAAAGATTATAAAGGCGTTTTGTAAAAGTCCATTTTCCAATGTAGGGAAATTAAGTTCACAAAGATGTTTGAACAGTTGTGTAAATGAAGAAATACAATGTGAAAGATGTCCGTCTTTCGAAAAAATTTTGGGGAAAAATGGGACATTTCTTGATCAAGGCACTTAACTGACAACTGCTATGGGGAAGCTGCTCAGTGACCAACAGATCAGACTGTGGTTGTGATGATATTATGCGTGTAACTGTGTGAGCAGGGGGTTCCTGCTCTCTGTACCATGCAAAAAAAAAAGTTTTGAAAAACTAAAAATAAGTTTGGATTATGTCATGAGAAAGTTGTAATTTCACAAGGCAACTGTCTAATTACAGTTTCATGAGTCAGGTCCCTCTGCTGTGCCTGAATCTCTCTGCGTCTCTTTCCCTCTCTCTCTACTTCAGGAGTGCTACAGCCCCTTCGTCAACGGCAGCTTCTTCGAACACGAGGGTCAGCCGCTGTGTGAGGCCCACTACCACCAGTCCCGTGGCAGCATGTGTCAGGCCTGCCAGCAGCCGATCCTGGGCCGCTGCGTCACCGCCATGGGGGCCAAATTCCACCCCCACCACCTGGTGTGTCACTTCTGCCTGAAGCCCCTGAGCAAAGGCTGCTTCAAGGAGCAGGAGAACAAGCCCTACTGCCACCCCTGCTTCATCAAACTCTTTGGTTGAGGACACAACAGGACTTTGCCTCCCCCTCCTCCTCTGGGTCGCCAAGTGAAGAAGTTGTATGACTCTGAGTTCTCAATTAGTTAGTTTTTTATTGTGGGAATGAGGGTGGAGCTGGTCTCTTTCTTGGTCTTAAGAACATTAGAGTTGAGAGGGCGAGTGGAATAAAAAGAGAATCATCCAACCCAATTAGTTTCAGTTTATTTCACATAAAAGTGGAATGCATTTTGACTTGCAGTGTAAAATACAATTCTAGCATTGGTTAGACGAATACAAAATGATGCCAAATGATTTTGTCATGTATGCATATTGTATTGATTCAAATTGAATATTGAAAATTGAATTATTTTGCCAAAGGTAGAAAAGAAACAGTATATTAAGAGCAAATGTATTGTTTCAGTGAAGGACTTGTGCAAAAAAAATCCCCTTTAATATATTTGCTTTATATTGCAAAAAGTATAAGTGCCACTGCAATTGCATTTCCACATTGTATGCTGACTGCTACGTGCTGTATGTTTTGTGTAAGCTCTCATCTGTTTAATGGCAGATATTTTGCATTATACTTTCACTATTGCTCTATGCAATTTGCCAAAAACAGTTCCAAAGAATGAAATAAAGGAGAACACAATTGTTGTGCTGTTTCATGGGTGAGTGAATCAAAGGATCAACTGTGAAATGTGAGAAAATGAAACCAAGCAACTTTTCAACTCTACACATCCTTTATGTGGGAAGTAAAAGCTGAAAACTTGCATAAACATAAATGCATAAACTTCTAAATAATGTCTGTCAAGAGTCAGCAGACATATAACAAGTGAAGAAAGAACAATAGGTTTAAAAAAGAAAAGTACAAGTATGTAAATATTCTTCTTTTCATACGAAGTCCAAAGAAGTTCAAATGCTTCTCCGGCCTCACAAAAACAGAGAAGAAATATCATTATTTTTTACAGTTGTGGATGAAAGTAAAAGCAATCATGCAAGTTTTAACGTTGATTGATAAACAGAAGAAAAAATGTGGGTCAGTTATTAGGTAGAAATGAATTTGATTGATAGATATTCGTTAACCTTTCACGATTTTTTCTCATTTGTCGGGAGTGACACAGATAATTCAATTAATTTTGTCTTACGTTTTCTCCATTTGCCATTCCTGATGATTGATACTGGGTACATTGCAGTAGTATCCATACATTAAACAGAACAGAAACCCTTCTTCATCCACTTATGCATATGCAAGAATATATCTACGACAGGATTTTATTGTATATGTGTATAAATTGTATACAATTTTGACGCTGCAGAAAATAAATACATCACATCTGACCACTAGATGGCAATGTTCGCCCACTGTTTTGAGCTCGAGCATAACTATTTTAAAATCAATGGCAGCATCCTGGAGGTGTCCAGGTTTTTGAAAAGGAAAGGAAATGTTGACCTGGTATAAACTCTTAAAACAAATACAAAATAAAAATATTCATATAATCAGTAGAGTCGAGCTGACAGCTACGTGAAAGCGTGTTGACGTGTGCACGTCGCCTCTGCAGCTCACAGGTGAGTTCATTTAAAACGTAATGAGCCTCCCTCGCTGTCTGACAAGAGAGAGCAGGTAACCTTGTAGGAGAAAGAAAGTCACCGTGAGTGACCCGTCGGCGTCGAGTTAAAGAAAAAAACAATCCAGAACACACAATGAGTGACACAGAACAGCACAAAGTAAGTTGGTGTTATTTGGCTGCTTATTAATTATGTGAATGTTGTTGTATTGCGCGAGCTGCAGGTCTCAAATGTGGCCGTGACGTTACACAGCGTGCCGACAAGCTAATCAGGTATTTATTGCATGCTAAATATGTGTAACTATGAAGAGCCGGGGTTACATAAGCGTTTTCGTCTAATGCCATAGAGTGATATTACAGCAGTGGCTGTGAAAACCTCATATTTTTTTATAAGTAAGTGGGATACAGTGATTTATTTATTTTTTTCTACACAGGAGTTCCCCTTTCCTGTCTTGTTTCTGCTCGGTGTCTCTTTGCCTTCTTTATAGTCATGATATATTTTGACCTCACAGGAGGCCGAAAACGTGTCCCAGCCTCAGTGGCCTGAGAATGGAGAGGAGTGGAGTGATGGAGAGGATGCCACGAATATGGACTGTGGGCTTCTGCAGGCTATGGCTGAGGATGATGAGGAGATAAATGTCTACAACGAGGAGACGTTTGGAATGGGTGTGTATGGATGTTTCCCAGCTGGGTCTCGAAAGTACAATATAATCATTTTTGTCCTCGGATGGTGCAACAGGTGTACTGATGACAAACTGTTTCTACACCGTACCAAAAAAAGGTTGAGAGTTTTAAAGGGTCGATGTTTTGGAAAATACTTATTTACTTTCTTGCAGAGATTCATGAGCGATGGATACCACTCGTGTCTGTATGATAAACCTAGCCAGTAGCCGTAGCTTAGCATAACTACTGGATAAAGGGGAAACTGCCTTCCTGGCTCTGCCCACACATAAGGAGTCTGGAGTCTGGAAATTTGTATTCCAGAACTTCAAAATAAAAGAAATCAAGCAAACTTTCATTTTGCAAAGGATCACAGATTAAGACTGTAATTTATCAGGATTACCTCATATTTGTTGAAGTAATTGAGATTAGCGGGTTTGTTGCCACAACTAAAATGTTTACAGTCTGCTATGCGATGCCTGCTCTGTAAATCACATGTCATACAGTATTTCTACATGTGTCTGTGTCGTAGATCTCGATGCACAAGGGACCACAGAGGACCCCGGCAGCGGTCTCCTTCAGTTTGGAGGAGAGCTGCCTCCACCACCAACACCTCCACCAGACCCCAAACCATCCAAATCACTCCGCCACCGCCCTCGCTCCCCTCCCAGACAGAGTCTACAGTATCTGCCCCGGGCTCCCCCAGGGCAGCGTGGCAGAGTAAGGGGCCAGAGAGGAGGGCTGGGCAGGGGCCAGATGTTTGAAGACCCAGCTGTGATGAGGATGGTGGAGGGGCGACCAAGCCTCAAGGTGATGCAGAGTAATCAAGAGAACAATAATATCCATATCGTAGGGAAATATTACATTTCAATATCATGCTCAATATCACTTCTCTATTTTAGTTTCTATTATGAAGCGCTGGTGTTAGTATTACTACTTATACACTTAATACCTATTACTCTTTTGTTCATATAAGGTAATAAATTTACTCTATTGTTTTTTTCATATTTTGTTGTAATCTTGCTGGCACAATAATTTCCTTTGGGATTAATAGAGATCTATTTAATCTAAATTCATTGTCTGAAATGTGGGATTTGAAAGCTCCCCTCATAGCAGCTTGTCTTCATTTATTTTAAAGACTCTTGACAGTGCCATAGTGGACCTTGGGAATGCCATGTACCAGAAGACCTTAGAGGATGATGTAAGCGACAACTTTTTTGTCACACTTTGCTCATACTGCTAATGTTTCCTTTCGTTGTTTTGATGTTTCTTTTTTCCCTTCAGTACCTGTCGCCCTCTTTCAGAAAGACTAGAAGAATCTCAGGATCAATACTTCAGGTTAAGATCCCTAACACGTGTTATAATCTGTGTGACAGTGGGTTACTTTAACATACAGTTGTGTTGTTTTATTCTTGTTTTGTAGGACAGTGCTGTAGTGTGTGTGATTGATGGTCACAGAGGTGGAGGTCAACACCTGCCCTCCAGCTTCCTGGATTTGCCATATCCTGTCTCTTCCTTCAGGGGCAGAAGAGGGGAACCCGGAGGATCCTACATCAGGCGACAGTTTGGCCAAAGAGACCCCCCTCAGGTAGATTCATTTGATAGGATAATCGTTTCTTTAAAGTAGTACGAGGGTTTTTTGTTTTCTTGCTGGGTGTTGGATGACAACATCAATACCAGTCATGTCTGTGTGAATTGATATGACACTGCAAAGCTCAATAATTAGAAATAGTTTGGCACTTAAGTCCCATCCATGTTGTAGTCCCATCCATGTTGTAGTTTTATGGGGTTGAAAACACCAATTTGTCTGTTTACAGATTAAAGGAATGTGGTATATGTAAATCGCTGAGCTTTAGAGGTGCTGGTAGGTGGATTTTGTTGTGGACAGAGCCAGGCTAGCAGTTTCCCCTGGTTCCAGTCTTGATGCTAAGCTAATCGGCTGTAGCTCCATCTACATATTTACTCAACAGAAATGAAAGTCGTATCAATCTCCTCCTCTGAATATCTGCACGAAAGTAAATGTATTTCCTAAAATGTTAAACTCTTCTTTTAAACAAACCTTGTCAGGCATTCCCTCACTGAATCTTGCCTTTTTCTTGCAGATTCATGCAGCCATGGGACCAGGTTCACCCATCTTCTCACGTCAACCGTTAACCCCGCGGCAACATTACGATCAGGTTCAAACCATAATTAAAGCTACTCTGGTACATTAAAGCCAATAGTAAATGTATTCACAAAGAGTTGAGTAGATCTGCTTGTGTATGACTCGTGACATTATTTTGTGCTCAGACAGGGGGCTTCCTGTTTCCTACAAACCGGCCTTGCCCCGCCACTCCTCAGTCTCTGACTCCTAAGATGATACAACTTCGCTTTGGTGCCAACTCACCGAGGCCGTCCCCCTTTTACAGCCCCTCGTCTAATCCGACGCAGCATTTCAGGTGTGTCCTGACCGTGTGTATATCGTGTTTTGTGGCATGAAATATTTCTCAGCGAAGTTGGGAGTATCAAGTATATTTATGACTTGGCAGTCTTGTTCAGCCCTCATGAGAGTATATGCAACTCTCTTCATTGACCTGACATTCATAGATTTTATTCAATCCCTGACATGTGTATTTACGAGGTAAAGTTAGAGGAATGGATAGCTGTACCTTCTGGGGGTAAAAGATGCAGCCGTACATTTAAACGTAGCAACTCTTGGCTGGTTTCAATACCCAGCTTTCTTGATTTTAACATCCTGTGAGAGAAAACATGTTATAATGCATCATCCTTGTTTTGCATGCATTGAGATGAACTGTTGTTCATTACTCTCTAATATGTACGTTGTCTGACCCACAGATACCCCGGTCCTGTCACCCAGCTCCACCCCCAACACAAACGACTTCTTAGTCAAAAACAACGCATATTCCAAAGGTTGGTGCTACATCTCTTATAGGAGTTGTATTTAACATTTTGTATCTATGTAAGGATATAGAAGAGTAATATCTACCTGAACAGAGAGGGAAATCGCTCTTCCCGTATGTGTTGTAATCTGAGCTTGCTTTGTTGACAAAGCCGGGCAGGCCGTGTGTGAGTGCATGTCGTTAGCTCACGACTGCTGCTCTGCTCTCAATCAAAATGCTCCCAATCTCAGATCTTGACCATTTTTTAAAGATTCTGAACTTATTTTGTTCTCAGTATGTTATGAAATAGAAAAAGGCTAATTATTTATAGAACATGACCTGTTTGTAGAAAACCCGAGGACTGGGATCCTTACTGTAACCTCATGACGGACAAAGAGAAGGAGTGGATCACCAGGCTGCAGATGATTCAGCTGCAAAGTGAGAATCCATACCACGAGGACTACTATTACCAGGTAAAGGCTTTTAAGCCAAATACCCAACCTTTGCAACATGACAAAGACGGCGCTTTTCATGGCTAGCGTATTTAAACTTTGTCATAGGAGTACTATCGGCGAATAGAAGCGAAGATGGCAGAAGAAGAGCTGGGCATCAGGAGCAAGAGGGAGCCACCCAAGCTTACCACGCCTTACATCACAAAAACTGACGTCTACGCCCCAGGTTTACTCGTCATATTTTCATGCTATTGGAACACATTGTTTGGTATTTGATTCGCCTAGACTGGTTCCAGCCTGGCTGTAGTTTCCACTGAGGACATAATCTTGTGTGTCTCCTCACTTTTAGTGTTTCTCTGTCTCTCTGAGCACATTTCTCCAACTGTCCTGCCACCACTTAGTCACCTTTAGTTATTTGTTGTTGGAGCTGTAAACGGCATGAAAGGTTTACCTGCAAACACTATTCACGGCTGAAAAAGGTGCCTCCAACTTTGTTTTTACAGGTTTTAAAAAATCCTTTAATCTATATTTTCATGCAGCTAATATTCTCCTAAAAATACGCCTTCATTTTCTTTTCTTTACTACGTTCCTCTGGAACCAAACCACCAACACCTTTTGTGTAAAAGAGTAATGCATGTGATTCTACTCAAGCTTGCAGTGCTTTTGCTCTTCCAGTGGTGCACATTGAAGGCTCCCTGGGTCAAGTTGCTGTGTCCACGTGTTACTCTCCTCGCCGGGCCATCAGTGCAGTTCATGCAGTCCAACCTCAGGGTCCACTTGAGGTGATTGTGTTCTTCAGACAATCTTTGTCATCTTGGAGGTGTTTTAAACTGCCTTCCCTGATACTAAGACTTTTTCCACGTTACAGGAACAACAAGACATCAGACAACAGCGGTTAGAGATCTTCAGCAAAATAGAAAAGGTACCTGCTGATTACTTGATTAGATGCATTTTATTTATCCTCACGAACACACGATCGCACCTCTTCGGCCCTGCAGCTGTTCGGGGTTCTGTTGGAGGTCGAGGAGGCGGACAGGATGAAAAGTACCGTTTTGTCTGAAGCGGAAGAAACCAGATTGATTGCAAAATCCCAGCAGAAAGTGGACCACATCTACTCCCAACTGCAACATCACAATCCCTCGTAAGTTCTGCACACCCACCGCTATCAACAAGTGATGCATACTGTTAAAATATTGCTTGTTGAAAAGTGACATTTAAATTTTTTGTGTCTAGCTTTCTTAATGAAGCTGTACTATCATAAGTAACATTTTTATGGATGTTGACTTTGAGCAAAGAATTTCCCCAAATGTTTTGATGTAGCAATTCAGGCGTAGAGTTCCTTCCTTTCCTGCTGGTCTCAAAAGGCAAAAAGCTCCTCGCCCGTCTGCTCCCGTTTCTGAAACACGACACTGCACTGAAACTCTTGAGCATTGTGACCTCTAACCTTCCTACGCTGATGAGCAGAGATCCAGAAGAGGTAGGGGAGTGTGCTTGACGTAGCTCGGCTGAACAAAGACTGAGACGTGGTTGAATGTGCCTTTGAACTTTTTGCTACACACAGCATTCAAAAGGTCAATTAATTTCCATGCAGCACATAAAAGGAAATTCAAGCTGGGTGAGGTAGTTTATTTTGCTTTGTCAGGCACTTTAAAAAAATATTTCTTTTATAAGTCTGTCTTCCTTTTTGGGGGCTTGCTTTGCAGAGTAGGCAGTTGTTGCCAATTCTAGATTTTCTAAAGCCTGAAAATGGAGCGAAGAGGAGCCATAAGTCTAGTTTACTCTGACACTTGAATTACAATACGCTGAGAGGTTTATATAAATGACGGCAAAAATATACTGCCTCCCCCAGTTTTTGCATGTTTTGGGTCATGTAAGTTCATTTTTCTTTAGGCCCTTCCAGTGCTCTACCCGCCCCTTCGAAATGTGATTGGAGGCCTGGCGTTCAGTCAGCTGATTGTTGTCCTCAAAAATCTGACTTCATCTGAGACTCTAACGACATACGAGTCGCTCACTCTGGCATGTCAGAACAAGGTCGGTGCTTTGTTGCCCGTTGGCTTCTATTTATACCTTTTGCATGAGACTTTTGTGACATTTCCTCATTCATCTCTCCTCTCAGTTTGGACTGTCCCTGCTGTATGCGCTCCTGTCCCAAGGAGAGAAGCTGCTGTCCTCGGGTGTCCCCTTAGAGCCCAGCATCGGCGACTTTGAGAGCTGGTGGGGATTTTAAGGCTAATATTACATGATGATGGGGGGGGTGGGTTATTTTAACATTCTTGTAAGATCTTGACTGGTGTTCCTGTTGTCTTTTAGGACGGACACAATATTCCAGGTGGCGGGACAGCTGTCCCAGTGTTCACTGGTGGAGCCGCTCCTCCTGCCCTCAAACCTGCTCACGCTCTTCTGCCGCTACCTGGACAAGCGCACTGTGCATCAGCTGAAAAGCAACATGGAGTAAGTGCTTTTTACCTGTTTGGATGCTGGAAGATATTCTTACAGTGTTTAAAAAAATAAATAAATAAATAAAAATATATATATATACGTATACCCAAATATCATTACAAATATCTTTATTTAGGTCTGCAACCGGATTCGTGGCTCTTCCATCTTGAGGCGGACGTAAGCTAATGAGACGTTCAACTAATGACCCGGTTATGATGAACACTAGTTGAAGGAGCAGAGGCCCAGCCCTGACACAAACTACTCAGTGTTCATTAATAACAGAAGAATGTAATTTAGAAATGCCGTCATTATTTATTTATTTTTCCCTCCTTCCCTCACATTTTTGCACACCAAACGGTTTCCCTTCATTTCCTTTATCTGATCTTTTTATGTTCCTCCCTTTGGTCTCCAGAAGGTTACGTCAGTGCAAGTTATTCGGAAATCACAAACCTGATGTTTTTTTGTTGTCGTTCTTTTAACCTTCAAAACAAGAGTTGCCATCATTTCATGAGATTGCCGTGTACTGAGTTGGTAACGTTGCATCAACTAGTAGATGGAGCTGATTTACTTACTGTGTCTTCTGTCTAACCCAGTTACATTCAGGACAAGACAACGTGAGGTATCACTGAGATAAATGTGTTGGATCAGATATTATTGACCAGGTTGAGGATTGTATAGTAATTTATGATTGTACAGCTGAACCTATATGTTTATTATAATAATATGACTATTAGGAAAGTCTGCATGGTCAATCAACAAAAGCCATGCAATTATTATTTTTGTAACAAGGCATGCATTGTGTATACATGTGTAGCAATACTAAATATGATGTATTTGATGTAATTTTTTATTTATTATATTCATTTGGAAACGGTAATTTATATTGCACCCTTGTAGCGCACTTGCAACACAAATAAAAAAAAATCTTTAAAATTGCTCAACAGTTTGATCAAGTCTATCGAAAATGCATGTTGGCGCGTTAGCCGTGGAGGACATGATGTGCTCCTTGTGTTTTGCTCAGTCAAAAGTGATGACTCAGCAGCGGGACTCTGTTTGCTCGTTCTTCAGGGAAACAATCCACAAGCTTTATTCACCTTCATTTCTTAATGACTTTCCCTGATTTTTAAAGAGTTGCATATTTAAATGATTATTCAGAAACCGTAAGTGGCACACACTAGGCTTTAATAAGGTCAGAAGAAAATACAATAAATTGGTTATTTTTACTCGTACAGCAATAGTGTCTGTGGTACCCCAAATATTTAAGTGAACGGAACATAAGAATGAATACAAAGCTACATTGGCAGCATCCATGCAGGCCATGGCTGAGTCATTGTCCTGTGAATTGACTCTGGCACATTACAACCAAATCTCAGAAAATAATCTGATCTAGATTTCATGTTTTGTTTGCTGAAGGGAGTTGAGTTTTAACTAAACCAATAAGCCTACAAGTTCTGTGCTGAAACGCCAGTGTGTGACATTCCTAAAGGGAGAAACTGGCAGCGGAACATGTGACTAAGAAATGTCCTAAACGGATATTTCTATACAAAGCAGAACTCAAAAAATGAGTGTCACTGAGGGAAGGGATTTGCAAATACACAGGACAGTTTTGCCAATACTAGTAAAGTAAATCATTAGAAAAGGAGGTGACTGAAGAGAAAATGTACAGTAAAAGTTGTAGGCAGGAGCCAAAAACTGCCCAATTGATCAAATATTTACTAGTTTGAATGTGACATCCGATATATGTGCATGCTTTAGTGCTCTTGTCGGCATCAATACATATGAGGCCTCTACTGGGATGTCTTTCTCCCTATGTGTTTTGATCTGTCAGTGACGGACTATATAAAGTCTTAGTGTTGGCAGATTAATATTTTCTTATTCCCTTAGAGTGGGCTGGAATGTGGGACCAGGATAAATCCAGGGACAATAATCTGTCCCTGTGCAGATTACTGCTAGTAAGACAAATTCATGTCGACTGTTTTGGAGTCTATAATTGATTCAACAACTCGACTGCAAGAAATGTATACAGTAGATTAAACCTCAACATGAACAGTAATACAGTATAATTGTGCAATATCCCTATAAAGATATTTAAAAGAACAATAGATATTAAATAAAAAGGAAAATATTCATATGGTGTATGAGATCTTTAAATTATAGCTCCCTCTTGACTCTTTTGTAAAACCTCCTGTGAATGCATGTTTTGATATCCCTGTTCATGTTCCAATAAATTGTAAACACTCTGTCTATCAATGCAATTAAACCAGCCCTGGACCGTCTAGTTAAGTAATCTACGGGAATATTGTATAGGAAACGCAACAAAATGTGAATTTCCCTTGCTGGCTCTTCATACAGTTGTTTGGTAAATTATTCCTGTTTCACAGTTAATCTCTTAACCATTAAATGATCGAAGTGTTTTTGCTAGCTCCTCTTCAGACCCCGCTGTGCTCACAGCTGTCATTCTGGGTTTGTTTGCAGCAGCTTTAAAGCGACGTATTTCCAATGCCAGCCAGCATTCAACACTCAACAGTTGGCCGCGTCCACCAAAATACTGAGTCAGAGCCTTGCTGGCCAGCCTGCCTCTAACAGCTGCATATATCTGGGCAGGAATACACATTGCAGACATGGCTGTGTGGAGTCAGAGAATCCTTGTCGAACAGTGGTGCCACTGTGGTCTCAAGGCCGCAGGTTTGTTCTATTTCTCCGGTACACTGAGCGACGCACTAACATCCTGACCACCACCTCAAACCAAACCCCACTGTAGCAGCAGATGGAAGCCAGCTTCAGCATTAGCTTCTTATAACACGGACTGATGCAACTTGGCGATGTGTCACAAATTTCGTAGTCATCCAATAGTTATTGAGACATTTCACGCAAAACTACAAACGTGGTGTTAGAGGAAGCCCGATTCATCCTCTCGGATCAGGAGCAGCTGTATAAAAATGAATTGTCCGAGTACGCTGTGATTATTCCACTCTGAATGTCGTTATTTCTACATGCATGTCAAATCAAACTTCTGCAATTATTACACCAACTATTATTCGACTTATCTCCTCGGCCGCCACTTAACTCGCTGTAAGATGATCTGCACGACATCTTATTTATCCACGAATGCTGGGTGAGTAAAACCATGAACACTTACACATTTCCAGAGATGAGAGGCTTAAGGATCAGAGCAGTGGAAAGACATTTGTTACCTGGTTCGTCAGTGGCAGCGGAGATGGTGAATGACTTTCTTGAGAAGCCAAGTATGTGAGAGGTCTGGGTGGGCTGGGAGGTGAGACGTTAACCTCTCCTTGACCCCATAAGAAGAGGATTTGGACTTTAAGTGAGGAATCTATGTGAAAGGTGAGATATCTTTCTTTTTACTGGCTTTTCTTTAAATATGCAAGGGTCTCTTACCAACTGTGTGTGACCGGGGAGACGTTGTGGACTGAAAGAGGCGTGAGTGCAAGTAGAAGCTCCCTCAGTTTCCATCTTTCAACTGGCTCCTCTGCATCTTGAAGTGATGTCATATCTGTCATAAAGTCCATTCACAAATAAACTAATGTTGAGTATTCTGCACAGTAGAGGTTTTTTGTTTTTTTAAATTAAAGTTTACAGAATCATTTGAATAAAATGTAGAAGTGCCTGCAAAAACATTTAAAAACCAAACACTGGACAAACTGCTGCCTGTTCAGATGTTTGCATGTACAACTTTAACTTTGTTGGGCTCTGTCACTGTGGTACGGTTGAAAATGATTTGTCTGAAAGTGTTTAACTCGGCATGTCTGCAGTATGTTTTATCATCCGTACAATCATGATTTTATGCATTGTTTGTTTATATGTGAGAGACTTCTGTCATCTTCTACATGCTATATTTGACTTGACTACAGATCATTTAAATATTTGAAAGCACTGTTTACAGGAGAACATATTTATGATTTGTAGCATTGCATGACATTAGAAAACGTTGGCCAACCCTTTGATTCAAAAAATACACAACGGATTAATTTGTATAATCAAATCAAACTATGAGAATGAATGAATCCATCCTGTGTGATGCACAGTCCAGAGTTAATCAGTGTCCGATGAGCTCCCTCGCTTTGCATCTCTGTCTCCCTTAAGTGTGAATTTATTTAAGTGCCCAATTATTTAGTTAATGTGTACACAACGGGTGTCTCTCCCAACAAGTAGAGGGGGTTCTGGAGAACAGGAGCATGTGTACGCAGGAGGAGGGGGCACCTCAGACCAGAGTGTATATCAGACCCTCACTATCCGGGTACGTTACCCACTCCAGATCATCTGCTCTACGCTCCTCATTCTCCTGCTGGGTCCAAGACATTTCAGGCTATTTCTCCCCCCCCCCCCCACCCCCCCCTCTCCAGGTCCACTATGCTGGGACAACTACTACTTCAGAGCACAGTGATCCTTTTGCTGGTGCAGGCAGCACACACGGGGGGTGAGTGAAGAGATGTGATAACCAATATCTCATCTTGATGTTTGACATTAGATTCACCTGCATTTGTGTGGGATGTCTTTTGTAAGTTAAACATGTGAACTGCCTTTATGACTAAGGCCATGAATCCGCATCATCAATACAAGACTAACTGTCAACCTTGTGTAAAGGTGTTTTCTTTGTAAGAATTAAAGCAAGAAATTAGGAGAGTTGGTATGTTAATTGGATAATTAAATAATATTTAAACCCCCCCTGGTGACAGGATTTTCCCTCTTGCTACTTTTGATGGAAAGCTCTCTATAAGGGGATATGTCAGCAAATATACAGAATATTTATCCCTGCCATTAATAGAATGTTTTCCCCTTACAACTAGAAGCTGTCATTGCAGTTACTTTCGTGACCGTTTCGTAGTAAAAAAAGAAACCACCTAATTCACAATTTGCAGTACTGTTTCTGAAGTCTATATAATATTGTTGGAGTTTCTTCACTACTTTGTGCAGACACATGTACATAAAATGGACACATAAGCAACAGAGGACATGAGAAAATAAATATTTCATAAGAGAAAAAAAAGCACACTAAATTAAAAATATAGAAGAAAAGGCAAAAAGAAGAGACTGGGTAAAGAAAAAAACATCAGTTTGTGTTTGGATGCAACTCAGGCGAGATTTACATGATTTAGTATAATTAATTATTTCTGTTCATACATTAACGCACATACATACACATGTTCCCTCAGTTGCATGCTTACATTTCCATTCATATTTGAGTTGTGGCATTAGCTCACCAGCAGCAGGGTAGATGGGAGAATTGTTGAATATAAATATAATTTATTCAACAACTGTTGAAGTTGGGTCTTTTTTTTTTTTTTGCAGAGCTGATTGTTGATCCATGTGTCGTATTGGGGAGATTCAACCTTTGTGAAATGTGGATTTTCTCCCCTGCTTTTCCTGTTTAGTAGTATTGCTTATTATAAATCTATTTGAACAATTTTCCTCTAGATAAAGTTCCATCTTATCTTAAAGGCTGTTTCCGTGTGTATTATCTGTACTATACGTCTCTTTTAATGATGGCTTTTACCATATTTTTGATCAGTTTAAAGGTGAATGTTAGATTTGCACTTGTTGAGGTCTATATTGAAAGATTGTTTATTTTTTTTGCATCCTTTAAAGACTCCCAATTTGTGTTGAAATACTGCAATGATGCCTGCTCCAGTGTCGTGCAGTGAAATGGTACAACATACTGACTCCTGAAGAGATGGGGAAAAAAAGATGAGACGAGTGTCTTTCAGGAGCTCGGGTTTGCCTGTCAAATTTCAACGGATCGTGTTAAACTGAAATCGTAGCAACGCTCGCAGTACAACTCTTTCGTGTCCTCAGCCCTCGACCAACTTTTCTTGTGATGATGCAAAGCAACTATATATTCTTTTCTCTTCACCAGCGGTCTCTGTTTGTGAAATCAAAGGCAGCTTGGCTTTAGTGGCAGCAGCAGTCTAAATTTAACATCCCTCTGTGAGGAGGGAAAGAATGGTTTTTACTGCTTGTACACAGTCACTCCATTGACTTCTGTAGAGGCTCGCTACTTTCCAAAAAATGTTCATCAGACCGCTGACTCAACAGTAGACGGGATTCAGTTTTTGAAATGTAATTTAGGGAATGTATGAAGATCATTGGGGTGGGGAGGGGGGCTTAATGTTTTGTTTCACTTCCTCTCCAGCGAACTCCCAATATATAAACAAATTGAACTGCTGCAGACTGATGATGATGTAATAATTAGCACTATAGGCGGCACTGCTACATAAGTCAAATTTTAAAAAAAGTATATATATATCTGACAGTAATTTAACATTCAGTGTGCTGTGTTCAAGGTTATGGTCCTGCATCTGGAGTATCCAATGGACAGTGGCCACAACCTAATGGTAAACCATCAGACTCTGTACACTTTCTGTCCCTACATGAAAATTATTACATTTATGGGATTTCAACACAAGCTGAAGCTTTTGTTCACAGCTGTCATGATTTTTCTAGGAAATAAACCTCAGAATGGTGGAGGTGTAGCACGAATGCTGATGCCATCAAAAGGTAAATTTAAAGCAAATTTATCCAGCCATGAATTTCTGTTTCTGAGAACATTTTTCATTAACTGTTTTTTCCCCGAAGGTGTGGGTCAGGCAATGGGTGCACAAAATGGACACGGCGGATACCCCACAAAAGGCCAAGGTTAGTGATTACCAAATGTTAGCAT